GGTCATCCATGCAGGGGACATTGGCGCCGCCGTGCCTATGTGCGATGTAGACCAGCTCGTTGCTGGCTCTCTGGGGAAGGAACAGCCGCTTCTTCACCAGCTTCCGGATGATCTTGTCTGCCTTGTTGAGGGGCACCTTTGCCACGGCGGATCCCCTTAGGGTGAACGAGATACGTGGGATCAGGAAGGTGTTCAGGGTGTTTATCTTCTGCCATGGTGCCAGCAGGGAGGCATCAATCTTGGCGGCATCCTGCAAGATCTCCTGGATGGTGTCCTCGGGTGTCTGCCGGACACGGAACCCTGTTGGCGTGCCCAGGTGCTGGTATGCCTGCCCCTCTGCCAGGGCGGAAGTCCAGCTTCTTGGCCTGGAAACCAGTTAACATCCAAGGTGTTGAGTTTTCACATGATGGCTTTCTGCACTGTACTTTTCCCTCTATACTTTAGAGAGCAGGCAGGATTTGCAAGAATCTTGCGCTCTCTGAAGTGCTTGGATATCCTGCTTGCTCACAATAGAAGAGTTCTCAGGCAACGGGATGGTTCACTGTGTACACTTGTCATCACAAATAAAAGCACATGTAGTAAGTTTTGCCTGAAAAATCTCTAGTACCATTTTAATGTATCTCTAACCAACTTCCCCCTTATAAATGCTTTCAGTTACCCACCTTTCTAGAGGTCCTCATCCAACAAGTACTTTTGAACCTTTAGGATAAAAGATTGTCAACTCAGAAGCACTGGTGCACCAAAAATCTCACTCTTCAGTGTAAAGACAAGGTCTTCTACCTGACTCTCCTTTGATTTGCAAAGACACTGTTCTTATTCTTAATCTCCAAATGTTAAGAAATCCATGCTTGCTTTTCAACATTCAGTGCTCTCCTATACCCACCTGATGACTCCTTCATGCTTCCTATCATATGCAATGACATTTCCCATTGTCATTTTCAAACGTTCTTCAGCCGCAACTTACATTACCGTTACCTTACAGTTCTTTCCTCACTTCCTCTGAATTTCCTCAACCATCCCTTTACAGACCCCCACATTTCTGATTCTACCAACATCTTCCATTCCAGGCTTTATAGGCCATCATGATGTAAATATGAGATTTGCTTTTCTATCATGTTCTTGATGGTTATAAAGCAGACTCTCTTGTAAAATTGTTCTAACTTATTTTCCCTTACTGGCTGATGTGATGGTGGGTCCACTTCAGATCTAAGTTGAGAACATGGCACCCAACAATGAACTGTGCTTGGTGCTGAAGGAGATAAGGTTTTTACTTGGTTTAATATCAACATCTTCAATCCATTTTTAAAACTTACGATTTAATATTTTGGAAGGTGGATTGGTCTGAGAACATTTTGGCAGTGTGGGCCTCTCAAACAAGGCAGTGACTTTATTTAGGGAGTCATCAAAAGGAGCCCGAGTAGCCTGATGCATGTGTAGTATACATAAAACAACTTCACATAAATTAATAAATTGTCAAAAGTGACCTCCACTTGTTCCTTCCCCATTCACTCAGGCAAAAGCCTAGATAAATAGATGAATCTTAATAATAACAAGTGAGCCTTGAAGCTGAATAAATTCTAGCTCTCTCAGGCCAACTGAATAAGTGAATTTCTGAGTCAACAGTGCTCTACAACCAGTCTTCATAGTAGAAATTTCATTAGAAGGTGCACAAGTGATGCATCAGTGATGAATAAGTTATAAATAAGGCTATGATTTAATCACGGATATTTTTAGCAAAAGTCATGGACAGGTCATGGGCAAGAAACAAAAATTCACGGCCCGTGACCTGCCCATGTCTTATACCATAAATACCCCTGATTGAATCATGGGGGGTGGGGAACCCGGGAGGCTCCGCTGCCACTCTGGCTACCGCTGGGGGGGAGCCCTGGCTGCCACAGGACCGCTGTCCCGGCCGCCCCGGGATTGCTGCTGGGAGCCACTGAGCTGCTCCTGCCACCCCCCGGGACTGCTGCTCAGGTGTTCCCTGGGGCAAGCCGCACTGGCTACTGCTTGGGTAGTCCCAGTGGCTGGTACAGCTGGCCCTGGGGCCAGCTGCTTGGACAGTTCTGGGATCAGCCACACTGGCCGCTACAGAAGTTACGGAGGTCGCAGGAAGTCACAGAATCCATGACTTTCTCGACCTCTGTGACAAACATGGAGCCCTATAAATTCCTGCGTAAGAGGTATACACATTGACTTCCAAAAATGCATGGAATACTCAAGGAGCTGACTGAGGAGATATCTGAGCCATTAGTGATTATCTTCAAAAAGTCATGGGAGAGATTTCAGAGGACTGGAAAAGGGCAAATATAGTTCCAGTCTATATAAAAGGAAATAAGGACAACCTGGGGAATTACAGACCAGTGAGCGTAACTTCAGTACCCGGAAAGATAATGGAACAAATGATTAAGCAATCAGTTTGCAAACATCTAGAAGATAAGGTGATAGGTAACAGTCAGCGTGGATTTGTCAAGAACAAATCATGTCAAACCAACCTAATAGCTTTCTTTGGGAGGGTAACAAGCCTCGTGGATGAGGGGAAGCAGTAGATGTGGTATATCTTGACTTTTGATGCTCTCGCATGATCTCACAAACAAGCTAGGGAAATACAACCTTGATGGAGCTACTATAAGGGGGCGCATAACTGGTTGGAAAACCGTTCCCAGCGAGTAGTTATCAGTGGTTCACAGTCAAGCTGGAAGGGCATATAAAGTGGGGTCCCACCGGGCTCAGTTTTGGGTCCAGTTCTGTTCAGATTTTCATCCGTGATTTAGATAATGTCATAGAGAGCACACTTATAAAGTTTCCGGATGATACCAAGCAGGGAGGGGTTGCAAGTGCTTTGGAGGATAGGATTAAAAGTCAAAATGATCTGGAGAAACTAGATAAATGGTTTGAAATAAATAGGATGAAAGTCAGTAAGGACAAATGCAAAGTACTCCACTTAGGAAGGAACAGTCAGTTGCACACACATACAAAATGGGAAATGACTGCTTAGGAAGGAGTGCTGCAGAAAGGGATCTGGGGGTCATAGTGGATCACAAGCTAAATATGAGTGAACGGTGTAATACTGTTGCAAAAAAAAGCAAACATCATTCTGGGATGTATTAGCAGAATTGTAAGCAAGACATGAGAAGTAATTCTTCTGCTGTACTGCGTACTGATACAACCTCAACTGGAGTATTGTGCCCAATTCTGGGCGTCACATTTCAGGAAAGATGTAGACAAATTGGAGAAAGTCCAGAGAAGAGCAACAAAAATGATTAAAGGTCTAGAAGACATGACCTATGAGGGAAGATTGAAAAAATTGGGTTTGTTTAATCTGGAGAAGAGAAGATTCAGTGGGACATAATAGTTTTTAAGTACATAAAAGGTTGTTACAAGGAGGAGGGAGAAAAATTGTTCTCCTTGTCCTATGCTCAGAGGTTAAGAAGCAATGGGCTTAAATTGCAGCAAGGACAGTTTAGGTTGGGCGTTAGGAAAAACTTTTGCCTAGGGAGGTTTTGGAATCTCCATTATTGGAGATTTTTAAGAGCAGGTTAGAAAAACACCTGTCAGGGATGGTCTAGATCGGGGTGAGCAAACTACGGCTCGTGTCCTGCCCGGCCCCCGAGCTCCTGGCCCAGGAGGCTCGCCCCCGGATCCTCCCCTGATGTTCCTCCTCCCCCGCAGCCTCAGCTCACCCCCCCGCCGGCGCAATGCTCTGGGCGGCAGAGCTGAGAGCTCCTGGGGCAGTGCAGCTGCAGAACCTGGCCTGACCCGGTGCTCTGAGCTGTGCGGTGGCAGCGGCATGGCCTGGCTCCAGCCGGGCGGTGTGGCTGTAGCGTTGCCAGCCACCAGTGCGCCAGGCAGCGTGGTTATGGGGCAGGGTGCAGGGGGTTGGATAGAGGGCAAGGGAATTCGGGGTGGTGATCTGTGGATGGGGGTGTGGATAGGGATCGGGGGGGGGGAAACAGGGTTGAATGGGGGCAGGGTTTCCCTGGGGGGGGCAGTCAGGAAGGGGGAAGTTGGATGGGGTGGCGGGGGGCAGTCGGGCAGGGATTCCAGGGGCAGTCAGGGGACAGGGAGAAGGGGTGATTGGTTGGATGGGGCAGGGTTTCCCTGGGGGGGGCAGATAGGAGGTGGGGGGCAGGCCACGACCCCCTCCCCTAACCGGCCCTCCATACAATTTACAAAACCCGATGCAGTCCTCAGGCCAAAAAGTTTGCCCGCCACTGGTCTAGATAATACTTAGTCCTGCCATGAGTGCAGGGGACTAGACTAGAAGACCTCTCAAGGTCCCTTCTAGTCCTACGATTCTGTGATTGTGATCTACTAATTTTATGAAGAACCTACCCTGTTTAAACTTCACACCTAACTATTTAGGTTTTAGTGTTCTTTTGATTGGTATATGTGACAGAACTGTATAGCTGATGATTATGTCACTCTTCCTGTGAATAGAAGTTTACAGAGTCACTAGCGAGATGGTTTTACTCAATGGCCAGAAATAAGTGTAGTGATCCATAGGGATGGGATGTCTCTATGGTGTTTTTTTGTTTTTGGAGAAAACCCTTTGAAATTGTGGTATTCTAGTAATATATCTAACTTTTCAGGAAGTAAACATGATTGGAAACAATTTCATTTGCATAAGAAGTTTAGGGTAGCAGAAAGTAGTAACCCCTGTGTTATGGCACCTCTATTCTTGTAAAAAGTGTCATGGTACCTTTAAGTGTTAGTGCCCAGGACCTAGGTTTTCAATTTCTCATCCAAAAGATAGTATTTCCAATAGCACAGTTACCACCATCATTCTGCTAGGGTATTGATTCAGTTCTAGCTAAGAAGTGGTGCCAGCTTCTATAGTACTTACTAAGGTGGGTGTTCTCTTTTACATTTACTGACTAAGTCTCATTTGATCCTGTTCAGATTGGACTAGATTGCAGCCTGGCTAATAGAAAATGTAATTAATCATGCTGTTAAATATTTCTGTATGGCCATTTGATTTTAATTATTATTTTTACTAGGTTATTCTGGGGCTTAGAAAGTTGTCTGGAAGCACTGGAGGTTACAGCATCACGGTAAGTACACTGTATTAAAATTTAGGGCAGGCAAATTGGGAAGGGAACTGACATGGAGGCAGGCAGAGCAGGGAGGGGCACAGGGAAATTTAGGCAAGGCTCAGGAATGAATCAGCCCATGAGAATTGGGGCCATCCGTGGGAAGATTAACATGGTGAGAACACTCTTCATTTTTGGGAAAGGGAGTGGGTAGATTGACTGGTTTCTTGTTTGTGGGGGCAGGAAAGGGAGGTGAAGCTTGAGATGAGAATGCTGAAGATGAGTAATAGCACTTCACATTTTCATAAGGGTGTACAGACATTAAACCTTACTTACAGCATGCCTGTGAACTATGGCAGTATCCCTTTAACCATTTGACAGATGGAGAAACTGAGACAAGGATTTTAAATGACTTCCCTAAGATAATAAAGCAAATCTGTGACAGACAGGATTACAAGTTGGGTGTTCCCAGCAGCATGCTCAAGCTACTAGTTTCTACTAATAAGTACAGTTTATTATCACAAAACTTTAATAATTACAATGTTTTGCATGTTTCAAAAAGGAATGAGATGAACTTCAATGTAAATCACTGTTTATAGTTGTGTATTGTAATAGAATGTAACCTACAGTATTTGGAGTGGGTTTTTTCTCCTTGTTTAAGGTGGCTTTCTAGAAGATGACCATAGAGGATCTCCCAGAACCTTCCCAAGAAGGAGATTCATTGATTGAAAGATATCAGTTTTTATTCCCAGGCTCTGAAACATCAGTTACTTTTTCAGTTGCAGCAGCACCAATGCCTTCAGACTGTGGTATGTATATTTACAGAAGGCAAGTGTTTGTGAAACTACTTTGAGATCATGTGCAGTGCCTGAGTTTGAGAGAGTGAAGTGAGATTAAAGAATACCATCAATTTAAAAATTATGCTTCTGTCTGAAAATGTATCTACAGTTTATTACAAGTACACCTCTACCCCGATATAACGCGATCTGATATAACACGAATTCGGATATAACACGGTAAAGCAGTGCTCTGGGGGGGGTGGGGCTGCGCACTCCGGTGGATCAAAGCAAGTTCGATATAATGCGGTTTCACCTATAACGCGGTAAGATTTTTTTGGCTCCTAAGGACAGCGTTATATTGAGGTAGAGGTGTAATACCTGAAATTTCTACAAGTGAAATTAGTGGAAAAATATTTTCTAGTTTGTACATTTCAAAGCACTTTGTTTGATTTCAGTCAGTTTTGCTATTTCTTCTGCACATTCAGTTACCATGACCTTCACCTGTTTTTTGTAGGCTCCTCACACGTCAACTTGGAAGTGAAAGTTGTCTAAATTTTTTTTTTTAAAAGAAAAGGTCTGTAAATCCACAAAAATTGGTAGGTTGACTCAAATGCAGGTGCAGTGCCTGAAAATATTTTAAAATCACTTTTAAGAATTTACCAGGTTTCTAGTGGGAGAGGCCCCATAAGTACTCCATTTTCGAAACACACAGTGGGACTTTCAGGGGGAAGAAAACTTCTCTTGGAAACATTGTGTTCATTACTAAGGAGAATAGTATAACTTCCATAAAGATAGTGGAATTTGCCTTTTTGAGATATTATTAAATTGTCTTTATATTCATCCTTTGAAAATAGAGTTATATATTTGAAACAGGTTAAATAAATATTGTCCCATTTGATTTAGTGATTAATTGGAAATGTTTAAGAAAATCTTTACCCTCCCTTCAGATATCAAGGGTGCTTGGGAAGTGTAAAAAGCTATTTTTCAATTCTAGTTTCCCCAGGCATTGATTCCATATAACATCTTTATTGTACTTCCATGCTGCTGAACACTGTAGTATTCTATGTTCAGGAAAATTAATGTTCTTGAGACCAATCTCAATTGCTGGTGTGAGGATCTGGGATTTAAGGTTTTAAGGATTGAACATGCTGTATTTTAATATGTGAATATGTATCTTTTATTGCTTAGTCCCACTTTTTTTGATAGATCTACTTACTCAATGAGCCAATCATTTCTGCCAGTGATGCTGGCCTAGATTGCCTGTTTTTCCACTTCTCCCTCAAGCACCTCCCTGGTTTCTCCCATTCTGCACCCTGTGTGTGTGGGAAAACCTCCCTATCTGAATATGTAAAGGCACCACCCTATTCTATATCTTTCCTTAAAATCTTCTTGTGATATGGAGGCAGGCAGAGCAGGGAAGGGACACAAGTCACCAGTTAGGCAGTAGTTAGGCTAGTGGTGAGATGGGACTTCTGTTGTTCTGCTGAACTTCGTTTAAATGTAACCTCATCTGATCTCCCATACCACATGATTTCTATTTTGTCCACCTGTTGAAGTCTGTCTGAAATCCAAATTGTGAGCTCTCTGGGTCAGGAACTGTCGTCTTTGTTACTTAGCACAATGGGGCTTGATCCATGTTTGGGGTTCTGGGCAATTCCCTAACGTAAATAATGTAGGGGTTTGCGCTAATATTTATAGACTCCTATATATGACTTCGTGTTCAAAGTTTTGTTTTTTTGTTACATGCTGAAAGGACTCTGTAAAAATTGAGTCATGGGGTTCATGTTTGTTCTCTTAACTTTCCATAGCTAAGTTGCTCAGTTTACCAGTTAAAAAGATAATTTCTTTTTAACTACCAGCACCACAAACTAAGTCTGGGATCTGAAAGCTTAACTGTACACTTTCTGGTTTGTACATTATTTAACACTAATGCTTCTCCATTCAGATAACAATTCTCTTGCACTTCCAGAGCTGTCTGATGCTATCAGGAATAAAAATTAATAACTAACCTTTATTTGTATCAAAATAATAAACAGATTTGAATATGCACCGTGAGTCTGAACTCTACCTTACCAGCTTTATTCCAGCTTCACTCTGAAACACTGTTTTTAACCTGTTATAACACTGTAATGGAGAAGAGAATCGGAACAAGTGAGCAGAACTGTCAATAATATAGTTATAACTTCTTCTGTCAGAGGATCTCAAAGCATTTAACAAATATTTGTTTATTCCTCAACTCTATTGGAGATTTAAGTGTGGCATGTGGCGTTTTCATTTTAGATTTTGGGGGAAACTGAGGCATGGGACGATGAAGGGCATTATCCTCTTTTTCACTAAACGTGAAGAGACTTACCAAAAGTCTCACAGGGCATTAGTGTACTAGTACACCTCTACCCTGATATAACGCGGTCCTCGGGAGCCAAAAAATCTTACCGTGTTATAGGTGAAACCACGTTATATCGGGTAGGGAAGGCTGTACCTCCCCAAACAGCCTGGCCCCGCCGCCATCCGACCCCCACCTATTTCCTCCTGGGTGACCCCTCAGAACCTCCGACCCATCCAAACCCCCCCCCCCGCTCCTTGTCCCCTGACCGCCTCCCAAGACCCTCTGCCCCTTATCCAATGCCCCAGCCTGGCACCCTTAACACGCTTCTCAGAGCAGTGTGTCAGAGCCGTCCCTAGAGGGGGTGCGGGGCCCGGGACAAATCAGCCTCCCCGCTAGTCTCCTCACTGTCCGCCCAGCGCTCCCGCCCGGCCGCCGCTCGTGTCCTCACCCCACCTACCCGCCACCCACCCATCACTCGCCTCCCCGCTAGTCTCCTCATCGTCTGTCCGGCACGTCTCCCTGCCTCTGCCTACCCGCCGCTCTCCTAGCCGTCTTCCCACCCGCCTGCCTACCCGCCGCTCTCCTAGCCGTCTTCCCACCCGCCTGCCTCCTCACCCCCCTCCTGCCTGCCGCTCCCCATTCGCCTCCTCACCCTGCTTGCCCACCCACCTCCAGCCTGCCTCCCACCCTTAACACGCCACTCAGAGCCGCGTGTCGGAGCCAAACACGCTGACCCCCCCAGAACGCACAGCCCCACCCCCTAGAGCGCTGCTTTACCACAATTTCTGCGAACCCATGTTATATCGGGTCGCGTTATATCGGGGTAGAGGTGTAGTAGAGAAACCCATTCCTGTTGACTTGCAATCCCATGCTTTAGCCATTAGATTATGTAGCCACTGTGATGAGTACAAAGATGCCATTTTACAGTCACCTGTTTAACCATAACCATACCAAAATGGTCATTATTTCTGCTCAGCCTGGGTACTCTCGCTGATTACCTCTTAATGGTATCTAGAGCTTAGCTTCAGCAATGTGTGTGCGCCTTGAGAGAGCAGGTACTGGGTAAGAACCAAGGGTATTGGATCTGCTTTTTAGCCTCCTATCAGATCCTTTCTTCCTGTGTATGGTGGTGGTTGTGCTGTTTATCTGTCAGGTTTATAAAACGTTTTACTGTTTACTGGTATGGATATCATAGCTGGTGAACTGGTATACGCTTTTTATTAGTTTCTCTCCTCAGTATTTGTTTGGGATACTATAGTTTTTTTTATCCAAATGGTTGTTATGTTATATTAAAAAGTTGCCTTCCAGTACATAATAGAGAAACAACTTCCTAGCAGTTTAGAGATCTGGAGGAGATACATGGGAGATAATCATGGCTAGGCCACTGTCTGCTTGTGACTTGCTGTGATAGCTTTCAGCATGAGATTTTCTTGGGCCCAGAAAGAGGATAAATGTAATGGGTACGTTCTACTTATTCCCAAAGCTATATGATTTGTTGGTGCAGGGTGGCTTGTGTTAAGAAGCAAGGCTTGAGTGGTGCTGAGAGTTGAGATTTTTGACAGAATTTGGATTTGAATTAGAATTGCTAAGTGATAAATAGCTTTGAAGCTCTACACTGTTTTCTGCCCTTTGGAGTCAAGGGGACGTGATGAAAGAAGCTTTAGAATATTGATGTGTGCGCTCCTCATTTGCTTTCTCTCTTGACCCAATTGAAGTTGTGGTGAGTCTCACTTTTTTTGGGAAAAGTCATGGCGATGCATCCAGAGGTAGTTTATACCATCTCAACTCCTCCAGTGTCATGCTCTCAGCCCTGTCCCAGAAGTCTGAGACCTATATTTACTCAGAGTAATATCTCTGTCCAGCTAGCCCTGTATCTGCAACTGATGCAAGACAAGTTGACATTTTGTGCATTCATTATAAACCTTTTAGAAGGCAGCACCATAGTAGCCTTTGGGGTGATAAAAGTTCAGTGATTTCCAGTTTCCAATCACTGGCTGAGTAAGACACATCTAGTTTCCATTCCTCCTGCAAATAATCATAGCTATCCAAATTCTTATTTTCAGGGTTTAAAAATTTTCACTAATACACAGCATACTACCTTGTGTTGGTGGGGGACATACATAGGTTTTTAATCTGGAAGACTGTATCTTTGATGCCTGCATTTTGGGTTGTAGTGAATGCCTTTTCCTTATTATCCTGATTATTCTTTATTTCTGTTCTCCTGGATGTCATGTATAAGTGTGCATAGTTTTTCTGTGATATTATTTTTTTGGGGAGGGAGGGGCAGGTTCATAACGTTGAGTAAGCAAGTGCAAGTTCCATCACTGTAATTGAATCTACTAAGGGCTTGTCTGCGCTCAAGAATAGCTTTGATTCGGCAGTCTGTGACCAGCCTGAAGCATGGGTAAATGTCTGTTAGCATAATTGTTGCAAACACTTGTATGTCCTTGTCTAAACTTAAAACTCAGCCCCAGAGCACCAATACAGCTATACTGATTGCTGAATCATGGCTTTCGCAAAGTGTAGATAAGGCCTCAATGAGAAGAAAAGATAAAAAGTTAAGGGAAGAGGCTGAATTTGCTTGTGATTCTGAAGTTCAGATCTGTGCATCTCCTCTCTACTTCTTGCCTCAAAAAAGTTTTGAAAAGTAGATGCATTATTGAAGCATTTTAATACCCAAATTTGTGTATAATACTCCAAATCTTTTCTTAAAAACCAGAGTTCTCCTTCTTCGATCCTAATGATGCAGCATGCCAAGAAATTCTTTTCAACCCTAAGACATCAGTCTCTGAATTGTTCGCCATCTTACGGCAATGGGTCCCACAGGTCCAGCAGAACATCGATATAATTGGAAATGAGGTGAGGAATGAAGGAGGATTCCTGAACAGTTTCAGTGTTCAAGAAAAATGGTATAGTGTTGATAATGATCAGAACTGATCTTATTCAATAGCTGAAATAATAGGTTCAAGAGATTGTTTTTGCCTTATAGCACATAGCTACTGACCAGTATAACAGTGATATAGGCACCATTCGTCGAGGTGACATTCAGCTATCTTTGCGAAAGAGAAGGAAGATCAGTATATAACTATTCAAGAAAATTGTGAGAAGGAAGCAAGTATGGGTTGAAGAAACAAATAGAGAAATTCTTTTTGGAACTAAAATGATTAGGATTTCCCATCTTCCACTTTTCTGTTTACAGTAACTTTTAAAATTCTGACAAAGGTGGGACTTGCAAAAGCAACTAAGTCACTTGGAAGCTGAAGTCTTTTTCCTTATTTCATCAGGTTGTGTAGGCTTTTCCAGATAGTCCAGCATGCATTCTTCGTACAGCATCATAACTACAGGTTTTATCAGGGTACTGGGGGACCAAACGATTAAAATGTTGGTGAGGAAGCAAAATTAGTGTTTTAAACAGATTTAGTTTTCCTGGGATGCATTGCATCTGAACTGGAACAGTTAGCTCTTCAACACATTAAAGCCAAGCTGGTGCTAATGATGGAAAAATGATATAAAACCAGTAAGCACTGAAGGTTAATAATGATAGATACAAATGACTAAGTATCCATTTTGCTGAGTTATGTATAACTACAGTAGAACCTCAGAGTTACGAACACCTCGGGAATGGAGGTTGTTTGTAACTTTGAACAAAACATTATGGTTGTTCTTTCAAAAGTTTACAATGGAATGTTGACTTAATAGAGCTTTGAAACTTTATTATGCAGAAGAAAAATGCTGCTTTTAACCATCTTAATTTAAATGAAACAAGCACAGAAAGTTTCCTTACCTTGTCAAATCTTTTTTTAAACTTTCCTTGTATTTTTTTAGTAGTTTACATTTAACACAGTACTGTGCTGTATAGTATTTGCTCTTTTTTTTTTTTTTGGTCTCTGCTGCCTGATTGGGCACTTGCGGTTCCAAATGAGATGTGTGGTTGACTGGTCAATTTGTAACTCTGGTGTTTGTAACTCTGAGATTCTACTGTACGTTGCACTGGTAATGCACTTTAGCAAACTGCTTTGCTAGTCTCCACTGCAACAAATGCATAAGTCTATGTGTGAAAGCAGAATTTATTCAATAATTACACCAGTTGTGCTGTTTTTCTGCAGATCATTAAGAGAGGCTGCAGTGTGAATGATAGAGATGGACTGACTGATATGACTCTCTTACATTACACCTGCAAGTCAGGGGCTCATGGTATTGGTGAGTAAAGAAAAATAGAAATTAGAAATGGAACTGTTTGCCTTGATAAATCAGAGTCTACCCCTCTTCCGTTTGAAAATTGTTCCTTATAGTAAATTTGCTAGTGCTTAGCCTTAACTCTTGTAAACATTTTATTTGTACAGTGCCTTAATGGCTGTTAGAAGGGATGATTCAGAAATTATTTTATGTATTAATACCAATTAAAAAACTAAACATAACCGAGAGGTTTCTCGCTTGGTAATATTGAAATCTCAGGCTCCTTGGGAGAGAAAAGGAATTTTTGATTGCATTTCATGTACATTTATAGGAAATAAGAGTGCATTTAGCCCTCTCTTTCTTGTTGACTCCTGTTGGCTTTTATCAAATACCTTTTTACACTGATACTGAACCCAGTTGTCCACTCTGCTCCAGCAAAAGGAGGTGGGTTGGCTGATGGAGCTTTAACTTTGCTGGCAGAAGGTCTGAAAATTAGGCATTGTGGAGCCTCACTCCACCACCTCCCTGACCTGTCTCTGATGCCTAATTTTCAAGAGAGCCTTTTTGTAGCAAAATGTCTTTCTATAGGCTTTGCTCTGTGTAGCCATAATTTGGAACACAAAGGTTTTCTAATGCATTATATGTGATATCTAGGCTGGTATATTTATACCATACTATTAAACTCTTAACTAACATTTAAAACAACTTTTTTAAAAAAATCTGCTTTACAGGTGATGTTGAGACTGCTGCCAAATTTGCCTCTCACCTTATTGATCTGGGTGCAGATACCAGTTTGCGTAGTCGCTGGACAAATATGAATGCTTTGCATTATGCTGCCTACTTTGATGTTCCAGAACTTATTAGAGTTATTTTGAAAAATGCAAAGCCCAAAGGTAGGTATTATCAAGTATCAGTTTTCTTAGATAATATGCCATTCTGCCTTTCAGTTAACTGACCCATCCAGTAAATGGGGTTGTGTAGGCATAGATGAAAGCTGCACTTTCCCATAATTTTTTTTTAAAGTAATTTCTCATTCTCTTTAGTTTGCTTTTTTGGACCATTTTCTCTGAACTGAGTTTATGTTGTAGTGCATAGGCCAGGTTGTTTTTAAAGAAGAGGGAGTATGATGGGATCAGACTTCATAAATAGTGAATGGGAAGTGAGGGAATGGGGGCGGGGGGAGGGTAATATAACATCAGTTTACTTACCTCTAAACTTTTGCTGACAGAGTGAAAGAGCAGATGTGAAGAAACAAGCACAACTGTTCTATTTGTGAAATCTCAGGCTTTCTGAGGGTGCCTTTATGATCAAGAGGCAGACTCAGAAAGGAAGAAGCAGGCTATGGGGTAGATCAGTTCTGGAGTACATAACAGAAGGTGAAAAAGATGCATGTTGCTAGCAATTGGAGCTGCTATTGATGTGTTCATATGTCTCACCTCCACCGCCCATTTAAAAATGAAGCAACTAAAGTGTCATATCTGAGATAGTAAAATGGGTACAGATTGGGATGGGAAACTCCACTGGTAGTTATAAATGCATTTAAAGTTCTGCAAATAATAGTATAAATTAATAATCAAAGTCTAACCCAGTATATTAATGCAAAAGGTAACTGACACTGGTTTCTGAAGCAGAAGCCAATATTACTGTGTTCCTAATCTGCATGAATATCTACACCAATAAACAGTTTGTGCATTGTACTAAATAAACATTCTTCTGGTTGTGCTGTCTTGTAGAGTTGTCAGATGCCTCTTTTTAACTAGCGGTAATTAAAAAGACTTCATTTTTAGAACTGAAAAGATGTCCTTTTATAAATATTGACAACTTAATACCCCATTTTATATCTAAAAACGTCATGTAGACACACAGGGTTTGTTTACCAGATCTTGCATAAGGAATTGTCAGAGTATTCATCCATAAGCATAGGTGCTAGTGACTGCTTTAGCATCTCTCAAAAACAAATGGAGGGTGGGCGGGCGCTCATATCTAGGGGTACAATTAAAAGGCAAAGTCCTGGATTCTGGTGTTGTAGCGAGCTCCTTTCCCTTTGAATCCCTGTCACCGCTTGAGGAAAGCCTGGATCTTTCCACAGTGCTCGAACGCTAGTCAGAATTCTCCCTTCTAATGCACCATATTTCCTGAGAGTCTAGGGGCAACGAACTGTAGCCAGCAACAAGAGACAAACCACTATTGCTCATGTTCAAAAAAGCAGTCAACATCATGTTGCAACAGCCCCCCCCCCCCCCATGACTTGCAGCAGCAGAATGGCTCTTGTGCCAAACACCTGGCCTCGTACTTGTTCAGTTCTCATGCACAGCTGCTCCAAGGAAGGGCAGGGTTTTGTCCAGACATCAAAGAAAAGGTATCTGGGCAAATGACGTGCCCCTCATCAGCTCCCATATGCGTAACACCCACAACCTAAGAAAAATGTGATTGCCCTAAGATGTTTATAAAACAATCTGCCTGGCACAGTTTCTATTAGTTGACTTAATGTGTCAGGAGGTTTGGATTAGTGTAAGAGATACTCTTAACATTTGGGGAACAAGACTTAATTGGGCAGACTGTTCCATAAGAATGTGGTTGCTATTTCATTTCAGATCTTGTGGAGAAACAAGTATGCATGTACAAACAAAACATAGGTTTTTTTTGGTTTGCAGTGAGCTGTGTGGAGGGACCCAAGTGTACCTTGGAGGGGTCCATACTGTTCTGGAAAAAAAAGTCACAAGATTTACGTAACCTTTCAAGCAAAAGGTGTAATGAGTATGGCATGAATTTAGAAACACTCTTCCAAAGAAGAACCAGTTACCACGAGTTTGATTTACTGCAGCAGTAAAATGCCCTGCATGCCTTCATGTTATAATCTCAATTCTAAGAATTTTAGAGTGAACCTATATAGAGAACTGGTTTATCCTCAAATTGGCAAACATATTCAGATATGAGAACTGTTTCATTCCTTCGGAATGAAATAATGTTTTTATGTGTCATGCTTCTGGTATATAATCCCATATACATCATTCACAACAAACTGTATTGCTGCATATTTCTTTCCCTTCAGATAGTTCCCACGTAATTATACAGGCCACCTAGTTAAGCTGGAAATGTGTGTAAACATGCCTCCAGGTTTTGTCTATGTACTTTTGTTTTCATACACACCTCTACCCCGATATAACGTGACCTGATATAACACGAATTTGGATATAACGCGGTAAAGCAGTACTCGGGGGGTGGGGGTGGGGAGGCTGCGCCCTCCGGCGGATCAAAGCAAGTTCGATATAACGCGGTGTCACCTATAACGCGGTAAGATATTTTGGCTCCCGAGGACAGCGTTCTATCGGGATAGGGGTGTATGTTGTGCAAATTTACAAAGTCTATGTACAATGCAATAAAGGGGTAATGCTAATAATCTCAAAGTGTGTGACTAAGTTTTGAGGACATGATGGTGGTCTGATAGATATATTTGCAGGCTTTCAATTAAAAAAAAAAAAAAAAAAGAACTGGATTTTCAGAGGTGCCGAACACCTGTAACTCTCATTGACTTTAGTTGGTGATGTCTGTATTTAGCACTTCTGAAAATCAGGCCATATATGGACATGGAAATGTCTGGTTGGTAACCTAACTAGGCATGCAAATTTGCCTGGTTTTATAGATGGATTATCTTAGATATTTTACTGATAATAGTAATTTCAAGCTCATATATAAAGGTACCTAGTTCACATTGGTGTAGTCCCATTTCAAACAGGACTATGTTAACGCAAAATAGATACTTTTTAAAGTATGTCAGCAGGGTCTACATGGGGCAGTTAGAATGCAACACATTAGAGCACTGGTGTGCTTTGATATGCCATGTATACAACCTTTCTGAAGTTAGATAGCTCAGAGTTGAAAGGTTCTGTGTCCATTTTCATGGCCACTGGTTCAAATTTGAACTAGATTAGTAACATCTGAAAGTCACATGAAGGTTGCTTGGTACCGTATGTGAAATGAGTTGGAGTTGTGGACAAATGTCTACATCCTGAACTGGCACCCATTTTGTTAGCCTCAGTGTTGATGCCAAAGATTGCTTGGATATTGAGACTGAACTCTTTTCTATCAGATAAAAGTAATTGCTCCAAAAGGAGGTTGAGGCACATTGGGGTAATCTGGGGGAATTTATATTATACTGTACCCATTCTTGATTGGATTATAACATTTCATTCTGTAAACTGTCAATCTAAGACCCTTTATTATCACTAATTCATTTGCTTTTTATGAAGTAAATACAGGAAGCAGGGGTGCAATCAGTGTTTGCCCAATAAAAAAGAACACAGTTGTGTGGAAAATGCACCTTTTTCAAAGTTTTTACATGTTTAAACAACGAATAGAAATATAAATGGACAAGCATCTTGTTACTTACCCAGAATGCTCAGTCTTAGATGCGATGTGCTATTTAGCTATTATTAGTTAGCATTATTCAATGACAGGAGGTAACTAAGGTAGAAGATGGGAGTTTGTAAAGAATATATATGTGTGTGTGTCTATATATGTAACTAGCATCTGGGTTACAGATAATAGTGCTTATTTATATGTTGAAATGTTTCAAGTAACACCTCTTCCATTCTCACTCATGTGATGTTTAATTGCAGATGTGGATGCCACCTGCAGTGACTTTGATTTTGGAACGGCTTTGCATATTGCTGCGTTTAACTTGTGTACTGCAGCAGTGAAGTGTTTACTGGAACATGGAGCGAATCCTGCCTTTAGGGTAAGGTGTAAGATTTCAGATGAATCAAAAGGATGAAAAGTAATTATTTTGACAGTTTAATGTTGCTGTAGCCAGGTTGGTCTCAGGATATGAGCAAGACAAGGTAGCAAAGATATCTTTTATTGGATCAACTTCTGTTGGCGAAAGGTTCAAGCTTTCAAAACTACCCAGAGTTCTTAATGTCTGGGGAAAGAAATAGCGTTTCTGTGCTAAATACAAGTTGGGACACAGTTAAGCATAATGGGTAACGTTAGGAGGTCCCTTGAAATAGGCCTGGTCTACACTGGTGGGGAGGAGGGTGATCGATCTAAGTTACGCAACTTCAGCTACGTGAATAATGTAGCTGAAGTCGACGTACTTAGATCTACTTACTGTGGTGTCTTCACTGCAGTAAGTCGATGGCTGACGCTCTCCCGTCGACTCCGCCTGCGCTTCTTGCCCGGGTGGAGTACCGGAGTCAGCAGGAGAGCACTCGGTGATCGATTTATCGTGGCTAGACTAGACGCGATAAATTGACCCCCGCTGGATCGATTGCTGCCTGTTCATCCAGCGGGTAATGTAGACAAGCCCATGGAGTGGGCAATAAGGGTTAGATTGTTTATGCAAAGGGGTTTGATGTGGGCCATTGAGGGTTAGCAGGCTGGTGTGTGTTAGGTTGTTGTAATGAGCCATGTCCTTGGTTTTAGTGTCTAGCAGTGTTATGAATTTAAGTTTCCAGGCTTGACTTTTGAAGGTGTTGCACAGATTTTCTTTAAGGATGAGTGTTGAAAGGTCAGATATGCAGTGATCACTTGTGAAGAGTGGTGGTCCATAGGTGTAAGGGATTTTTTGTCTTTTATGATTTTTCTGTGCGAGTTCATTCAAGAGTGTAGTGTCTTCGACTACAAGAAAGGGACCGAGAGACTTTATCCGTTGGGCCAAATGAACTGGAACCATAAACTCCCTGCACATTAAATCTCACCAAATGAGGGTCAACTCATCCTCATCATCGTATCCACTCATTATACTCAACACCCGAACATAGCTATTACATGAATATCATACCCTCATATCTCAATGTCTGTACTTTGACCCGTCAACCTTTTACCCCCAATCAGGGATATTGCAGATTATGTATTCCTTATGCCACCTGATCTTAAGCTGAACTTCGCACCCCTTGATAATCTGTACGTTATTCCCTGATAATCAGAAACTTCTATGCTTAAACTCTGTACTGTTCACTTTTTTTAAACATCATTTTAATTGACTGTCATTTAAGAAAACTTGTATGCAGTGGTGTTGTAGCCCTGTTGGTCCCAGGATGTAAGAAAGACAAGGTGGTTGATGAGAAAGTCATGTTTACACAGAGCTCTCCTTCTGGTCTGGGAAGTGTATTTAGCTGTGACACTCTGAATACAAGGCTGAACAGATTGTTTAGCATAAGTAGTTAACACATATTTCAAGGGAACATTCAAGGTGAAGTGTCCAGTTAACCTCTCCAGTCATAAGGAGGAAATGAAGGAGGGGGAAAAGCTGGGGTGTGTGATTATCTGAGTTCTCTGTTCTCATCCTCAAAGGAAATCTGCATAACACCTTCAAAGGATGAGTCTGGGAATTTAAATTTGTAATTTTGCTAGATACTAAAAACCATGAACTAAATACATACATTGAATTCATGGCTTTTTACAACAATCTGTAACAACGTCCTCTCCCCCCAGCTTTTCTTTTTCTTCCTTTCCCACTCTGATTGGAGAGGTGTTAACTGGCCACCTCACCTTGAATGGTCCCTTGAAAGGTTCTTTGTAAGATGCGCATAACAGCGTATGCTAAGTAATCTTTCACAGCTAAGTACAAGGTGACACTCTGCATATACCTACACTGCAATGAAAAAACCATGGCTGGCCTGTATCACCTTGTCTTGCAGGGCTCAGGTAACTGTGTGCCCCAGTGTCTATACTATCCCATAATTGAACAGCCCCTTAGCCTGCGCCCCGTGAGCCTGAGTCAACTGACACGAGCCAGCCATGGGTTTTTAATTGCAGCATAGACATACCCACTGAATACATTTACCAGTCCTGAAGAAGAGCTCTGTGTAAGCTCAAAAGTTTGTCTCTCTCACCAGCAGACCTAACTTGTCTATCTTCATTTAAGAAAAATAGTCACACACACAAAAGAGTAACAACCAGTCCTGGGTTTTGGTCACGTGAAAATGTATTATATTGAGTGGTATTGCCTGAAAGTCATTGGTAATTAATTTTGGAAGATTTTCCTTTTGGGGCAGTTGTGATCTGTTATGTATCCAACCCTAGATTTCTGTCAAGATCCAGTTCTGTCTAAAAGTCAGTTTAGCCACATTCCTCAGATTTTCCCATTACTGTATGAATGCCTGTCTTTTTATTGGTTAGTGCTCCTTTGTCCCCTAAAGTAGCCATTATCACATAGCTGTACCTCCGTTCAGAAACATAGGAATGCAACCTAAGATCATCACAAATGCTGTGTATTAATAGTCTTGCCCTAATCACATGAGCCCAAACACAGTCTCTCTGACAGATCTGAATGCCACTTGTGCATGGGGAAAGAGTCTTGTGGTGGATGCTGAACCTGAATCTCCCATATTGCAGATTAGTAACTCTGACTTTGTTCTGAAGGAAACAAGGGTGGCTTCCGCAATAGACGCTCCTAAGAAAGAAAAGATTTGGAGTTATGGAAATATTAAGATGTGGGATTTTGGTTATAATTATCAATGTGTTCATTAAGAATAGTGCCTTGTTTGCCTTTATACATTCAGTTGTATGGCTTCAAAACAGTTTAATGAGTACCTCCTCAACTAGTGATCCCTGGAAAAAAGGAGAGATTTTGCCACACCTATCATATTTAATGATCTTCCACAAGCTCTTGCATGTTTTCCTCCTACAGCTGTTCTGCTAAAAACAATCTGTCTGTGGCAAATTGTGGGTGTGCCTGGACCATGTTACTAAAGAGAGAAAATGAAAGAGCTTACTGTATTATTTTAAAATAATTCCATAAGATCTTCCATCACAGTATCCAAACTTGCATGTTCCTTGTAGCTGCCATTTGTACTTCTGCTGATACTGAATGAGAGAGCCAGTTTTAAACCTTTAACAGTCTCAATTGTAAATGCTTCTAGAAGTGTTTGATTTGCTCATTTTAAAAATTGCATTGTGGGTCAGTCTTCATGCTCCATCAGTTGTTAGTGTATGTACTTGGATTGCACTGTCCATTAGGAGCTAGACTAAGAGCGTCCATGTTTTTCCACACATAGAATGTCTGTCTTCTAAGGCCTGTCAATACTAAAGTACAGCTCTCATTTGCACTGTGGGGACTGTCATTTATCATGTTTTTTACAGTGGGTCCCAACCTGGATCTCAACCTGTTATCCTTTAGATGCTATCATAATATAAATGCTAAATAATAATCTGACCTTGATTACAACAAGCATAGCTAAATTGTCCATGAGGCAGCTGTTTTCACATACAGTCATGGCAACCTTGTTTGTGTCTGCTGCAGCTACCATGCTGTCTAACAGGCTTTGTATCCTGCCTTCTGGGAAAGTCTAGGTAGCTGTTTTATATTGTCTTGAAATAAAGTTTCCAGGATGCATGCATGCAGCATCTGGACAGTGTACGTTGGGATGGACTAGCACATAACTGAGAGACAGGAGGACCAGTAAACTGGGCCACAACGATGTGGCAACTTAGGCACTGAGAATGAAGCATTGTTAGCTCCCTAGTTACTAACCAAATACTAGGCATCCAGTGTTGTGAACAGACACAAGCCATGTTAGAGCCAAGCATAGCACAACCTAGTTAAAAACCTTGTGAAAAATTGTAGCATAGACCATGGTTTGGCTCGCCATATCAAATTTGGTAATGATGGAAAGCCATTGCCAGCTAGTAGCTTTTCAGTGGGCTGCTCTTGGTCAACTAGTTCCAGGGACTATATATAATATAATTCTTTTTCAGCGAGCAAATATAAATTGTATTAAGGCCACTTGGAGAATCCTTAGTTTGTGTGTCAATGATGGTATGGAAACTTTCAGATCATTGCAGTCTGTTTTCTTAGTCCTTCATAACATGCACTTTAAAATGCTGTATTTTGTCTCAGTCAAATGCTTATTTTATATTATTATATATATACATGTTTGAAAATTTTGGCTGCTGGTTACTAACAACAACAACAACAACAACAAAAAAAAGGTAGCAAGGGGATTTTAAATCTTATAAATGGACACTACTTCTGCACAGCCAAGTTTTGGCCTGTCTTTATGTTAAGTCTTTTCATTATTCTACCTTGTTTATGTAGAATGACAAAGGACAGATTCCAGCAGACGTGGTTCCTGATCCAGTAGATATGCCATTGGAGATGGCAGATGCTGCAGCAAGTGCAAAAGAAATCAAGCAGATGCTGTTGGATGCAGTGCCTCTGTCATGTGACATCTCAAAGGCCATGCTTCCAAACTATGATCATGTCACTGGCAAGGCCATGCTTATGTCACTTGGCTTGAAACTGGGAGATCGTGTTGTTATCGCAGGACAAAAGGTAAGTGAGTAAATTTGAAACTGCACAAGTAATCTCCTGTGAATTGGGCATTTGTAGTACGCTTGAAACTGATTTCTTATCTGTAAATGTAAAATAACTTCTGGAAGATATGAAATACGGGTGGCAGTAGAGATGCGAAGATATTTCTATTGCTGGAAAACAGGTTGAAAGGAAAATCCCCTCATGAGAAGCTGAAAGCTTATGTAGTAGTGAAACTTTTTCACTGTTGTGAAAAGCAGGTTTTGGCAGGCAAAATCTGTATTTTGTACCTGCAAACCCTTAACAGTCCATCATAATAAATAAGTGAGTCTTAGACTTTATAGTGTGTGGATCCAAAATGCTGCCAGGGCTCACAGATACCATTTGCAGGATCTTGTGACAGGAATTTATATTCTGTAGAATTAATCTAGTTTCCATTCCAGAAACTGGTAAAAGGTACGTTTAATTCTGCTTAGCCATTAGTTATTTAATTGGTACAATGCAGCTAACATCTTCTTTGATGAAACACTGCCGTGTTATAGAGGTAGCAATATAATCTAAGGAACAATGAGAACTTTAGTTAAATAACTGCAGCTCAAATTTTAATTGCTTTAAACTAGAGAAGTTTGGAAAAGTGTTGTTCTATTGGTAACTATATTGGTTTATATCAGGGGTCGGCAACCTTTCAGAAGTGGTGTGCCGAGTCTTCATTTATTCACTCTAATTTAAGGTTTTGCGTGCCAGTAATACATTTGAACGTTTTTAGAAGGTCTCTTTCTATAGGTCTATAATATTTACTTTACAGACAACAATAGTTTAGTTATATAAGGTTTCAAAATGTTTATGAAGCTTCATTTAAAATTAAATTAAAATGCAGAGCCCCCCGGACCGGTGGCCAGGACCCGGGCAGTGTGAGTGCCAATGAAAATCAGCTCGCATGCCACCTTTGGCACACGTGCCATAGGTTGCCTACCCCTGGTATATATGAAGTCATATACTTTTTTCCTCTTCTTGTAGGTAGCAAGGACTTAGAAATGATTTAAAAGCTATAGGATTTTTTTAAAGATTGCCATAAGCACACATGCAAACTTTGCAGAAAAATCTATTTATAAGAGCAGAATTCAGCATTTGGGTTTTCATGCACCTGTGACAACAGTACTTGCATATTTGATTTTTCTAATTTTTATTATATTAACTTTAGATTGATAATTTGTTCTTTTCAATTCAAAAACTTTCCCTCGCAGTGTATGAAGCAGTTTCCATTTTGAATTTGCATTTGATATGTTATTGAAATTGTGTCAGGAAAGGTGACACAATCATTAGCTATACAAAAGGCATGCTAACTGAAATATATACAAGAAACTGCTTGTTCTGACAAGATAATTAACATATGAAAGTTGTTTAGCCAGAAACCATTACACAATGAAAGCGAAGAAGAAAATAACAGCCATCAAAAATACTCGAGCTGCGAGTCAATAAAACCTCAGAACAAGAAGAAAGAAATTTTTACTTATTTCAGTTACATACATAGAATGCTAGTTTTTATTTTGACATTGCACTAAAGCACTCTCCCTCCCCGTGAGGGTGGGCCTGGGCCTCAGTCATGCCTTCTGCATCCGGTAGAGGCCTGTATTCTTCAGGATACTTAAGCATGTGCCTAACTTTAAGCAGGTGAGTTACCCTTTGAAGTCAAAATGAATGAACCTGCTTAGTAAGACGTGCACTGAAGTACTTTGCTGAAGTGATGGCATTGTCTAATGGTACATCTTGTTTGTGACTTCTTTCTGTTGTGATAACTGCCAAAAAATGCTGCTTTTGTTCAATCTCAGGTGACTTAGTCGTGTCTCTTATATCTTAGAACACATACTGGCTGGCATTTTTGAAGGAAAAGGATCTCTGCCCTCAAGGAAGGCAGAGGAATGTGAAAGTGGCAATCTGAATAGTGATCATGGATCTGGAGATGACTTACTATCTTACATAGTGTCTAATAGACATGGTATTTATTTATTATTCACAAAGTCATTCTGTGTTAATTCCTTTCTTTAGGTTGGTACATTAAGATTTTGTGGCACAACAGAATTTGCCAGCGGGCAATGGGCTGGTGTAGAGCTGGATGAACCAGAAGGAAAGAATGACGGAAGTGTTGGAAAAGTCCAGTACTTCAAGTGTGCACCAAGATGTGGTATAACTTTATTTTCTAGATGTTTTACAGATACTTTGGAACCTTAAGTTAAAAAAAAAAAAGAAAAGAAAAAGAAAAATATTGGTTTGATTAGACAAGGTGTCTGTGGGTCAATAAATACAAATTGTTTGTCCCAGATTTTTCTATTTTGTAAATTCCTTTAACTGCTCCTAACTTTATCAGTTCAGAAGAAGCCATTTCTGATTACTTCCTTGAAACTGCAATGTAGTATCTTCATTGGTTATTGGCTTTTCTCACAACCATAGTGTAATTGTTTCTTTTCTATTTGACATTTTCTCTCATAGCTTACTTGGCCTTCCTCTTTGAAAGAGATTCGTTGGAGCATTCATATATTCTTCTTAAAATTTTCTCTCCATCAAAGGAATGTGATGTAGTCTCTCTTCTTTGTTTGTCAAATTGAGGTGTCTGTGTTGTAAATTTGCCTGGCATTTCATTTCCACCTGTGAGATGATGCAGGAGCTTGTGCTGAGGGATGTTCTACCTCTGTTTTCAGCTTAGCCACAAGCATTCTTTGTGATGCTGGGCAGAGCACTGAGGCACAGGATAGAGTAAGTGACTTTCCTATCTATAAAATAGGAATCGTACTTCCCTACCTCACCAGCTGTGAGTATAACAATCCATTAATTGAGGTACTGAGATACTTCGTTAAACAGAGTAACCTAAGAAAGAATAGCTAGATTTTTTTTGTTGCGTGACTGCTTCTCCTGGTTTACATACTGCATACAGAAAGAGATGCGTCTCTCTTTTTTTTTATTCTCCAGGTATCTTTGCACCTCTTTCTAAAATAAGTAAGGCTTCAGATCACAAGAAGAATTTTGTCAGAAGTCCTTCCACACGATCTACTTTGGTCAAGTCCAAGAAAATTGATGTAACGCACATAACTTCAAAAGTGAATACTGGTAAATATTTTTTTGTTATAAAACTAGTCTCTCCAAAAATCAGACGGTAATTTTGCATATCTTTATATTAAAATCCTAGCTTGTAGTTAATTCATCCTCTTGGAATAAGAAAGGAGTATGACATTTATTAATTATGCCTTCTCGTTAACTGAAGTTGTTGGTGCTGAGAGGTGTTGAGCATCTGTCGCTCACATTGAAATAACTTTGAACTGCAGGTGCTTATGGCTCAGGATCAGGCCCTATGGCTCAATCACAGTAACAATTAATGTTCTATCATATGGTATGTCACTGAACTAGAGCACTGTTGTGCTATGCCTTTTTACAGTCCCCTGCAGCATGATGTAACATTGATTGCTGGAAGGTAAGAGATGGGACTAGTTACACCGTTGCCCAATTCTGATAAGACAATTGCTATGACTTTTTCTAGGGCTGAGCCAGGGGAATCGGTAGAGTGACTAACGGGTCTATTCTCAGTGAATGGTCATTTTGGTGGTATAATATACCAAGGAGATCTAACATTACATATTGATGTCCTGTTCGGGAAAGGCTTACCATAGCACACACTCTCTGAAGCTTTTAAAGCTGTTTGTGATTGGAGATGATATCTGTAAATGTCTAAAATCTCTTTGCTTTAATTACGTAGATTTTATTTGACTTGATCAGCAGGCTTTCAGACTGTTGAGGAAAACAAATTGAAATGCTAATTTATATGCAGCTGTGTATAAGTATTAAAATATTGTAAGAAGTATTAACACCAATTTCTTCAATAAAAACCCTTCAGGCAAAAATAATTAGAAGCTATTTTAATAACTACATTATGTGTCAAGGGAATGAATTAGTTCATCTGAGAAATGAAGCATATATCTGGAGGGGATGGATATTCTTGTGTTTAAGTCCTTGGGTGGGGGCTTAGGAGATCTGGGTTTAATTCCTGGCTCTGTCACAGACCTCCTGTGTGACCTTAGTTTAGGCAAATCACTTACTCTCTCTGTGTCTCAGGTCCCCATCTGTAAAGTCAAGATAATATTCTTTTTCCTCCACCCTTTGCCTTTCTTGTCAATTTAGCTTCTAAGCTCTTTGGAGCAGGGACTCTCATGTGTTTGTACAGTGCCTAGCATATACAAATGGGCTCTGATCTTGATTAAATGATGTAAAAATAATGCTATTATATGTATTGTTTTATAATTTCCCCTCTCTCTCAGTCCTGTCCAGTTGGACCCTTTATAATAAAGCAGCATGACTTTACAGGTGGAGGAGTATACATATATTCCTACAAAATTATTAAAATCCTCTAAAACATTCCTTTTTTAACTGTAAAATATGCAGCATATACAGACTACATGATGGGATGGTGGAATACATTTCTTTAGCAGTGATTTGGGATAACTTGCAAAAGTCATTTGACTCTTGCTGTCATGTCTATGTGGTAGACATGTGCTGCTCTGTGACCATTAAAAATAATTGGACATCTACAATTTTCTACACACTGACATACTTCAGACTTTCTGAAATTCTCTGTCTGACCTTTACTAGAAATGGGGCATTTGAATAGTATAAGTTGCATGGTTACGATTTGATCTGAAAAATGACATGCTCCACAGAGCTCATCTTTTTTTGAAATGCCTTGTCCTAATCATATCAACGTAGACAATTAACTTAACATCCAGGCAGTTTAACATGATGAGGAAAAACTGACACCTTGCATAAAATGCTACACTTCAGTAAAATAATTACATTTGTTTGCAAAACTGTAAAATGGATGGCATAAGCTATCTCTTTCTATAAAACATTTTGGCTGTTTGGTCACTCAGAGTATTGTGAGCCATAAGACAGCTGTTTGTTAAGATTGAGCTATGATTTATTTTTAAAAGATCTTGACTAAAATGGAAAAGGATTGTTTTCCTCTGAGGCAATGCATTTGTGACAACAGTTTGTGATGAACCTGTGTTTTGACACAGCTGTGCCTAGCCATCTTTATACATCCAAAAATTTGACATTTGCTTTAAGTAAAAATCAGAGTAAGTTATACATGGTACACCCACTAGGGCTTACATGTGTAAGCAGTATCAGTGAGCTGCCATTGTAAGATATTCTTAGGCCAAAGGGCCCATTTATCTTAGGGCTGGTCCACACTAAGCCCCCAGTTCGAACTAAGATACGCAACTTCAGCTACGTGAATAACGTAGCTGAAGTCGAAGTATCTTAGTTCGAACTTAAAGGTACTTACCGCGGGTCCACACGCGGCAGGCAGGCTCCCCCATCGACTCCGCCTACTCCTCTCGCGGAGCAGGATTACTGGCGTCGACAGCGAGCACTTCCGGGATCGATTTATCGCGTCTAGACAAGACGCGTTAAATCGATCCCAGAAGATCAATTGCTTGCCGTCGAACCAGCAGGTAAGTATAGACGCACCCTTAATGTGCTTGGTGGATTCACTTGCTAGGTGGAAGATTAAAGTTGCAAATACAGAGCTTTCTTCTGAAACGTTTACTTGCATTACTGGAGGAAATTTCTTCAATGTCTTAACCACCAGTAAATTATTTGCATTACAGGCCATGCAAAATCATTAGTACATCTTCTATAAACATTGTAGATAGACTGCAGAGTTCTGTCAAACCTTACTTTTAATATTGTATATGGATATTTTTAATGCTTTTTTAGTTGTACTTTTGGTATTTGTGGTAAAAATATTTGCTCTTTAAGTAGTCCATTAGATTTTATCAATAATAGTCACCTGATCACAATAAGTACTGGGACTAATCAAGGATTTTCTGTTATAAAACATATCTCCGGCCATGAACAATGTTCTCACATGTCTGACTCTTAAGGCTGAAATATAAAACACCTTAAAATATAATGCAGTCATAAATAAGTACCAAAATAATATATCATCTGGGCTAAGCCAATAAATATAATTAAATAAAAAGTCCGCTTTGCCCTCATCACTAGTACCAGCAAAATCGCCCGGAAGGTTTTGTTCTCTTTGCCTAGTCGTGGCAGACAACCACTTATGAATACAAAATAACTTGTCCATGAAGCATGTATTTAAGCAGCAATATTAGGTCAGACATGTTATTACATTGTTGCTATGTAGTGTAATAGGCTCTTTAATTAGATTAATATTGGCATATTCAATCCATTTTTGTAGGCTTGAAACCAAAAGTTATGTCATTGAAACTCAGATTTGTATAAATACATGCATACATAGAAATTATAGATTGAACAGTTGGTAGTCTTATTCCAATAGTAAAAGCAAAAATGTTCAGTTTTGAGTGTGTTTAAGGAAATCAGAATTTTGTGATTTTTAAAGGATTTTTTTGTTCACTCGTGTTAACTCAGATTGTTTCAATATAAACATTTGGCAAGCAATTTGTTTATAATATGGCTTGATTGCTTTGGAGCGTTTTTAAGTGTCAGTGGTTTAACATGGTTGGTAAATTATTTTACAACTAGAAGTTTTATATAAAAATACTGTGGTTTTGTAGTACTCATATTTGAAGAATCACATTTTACAAGTACTAAATAAGCATCCTGAAACCTGTAAATTAGGCAGACCTTTGCCCCATTTCACAGGTGGGTGAAGAGAGGGATGGGAGAGAGCACAGAGAAGTTGTGGCTTGCCAGTGGTGACACAGGAAACTAGTATCAGTCAGGATTAGGACATAAATCCTTATTTTCCCAGTACCATGTTCTAAATATTAGATATCACACTCTTCTGTAAAGATTACTAGTGTCTATAGTATGTATGTAGAACAGTTGGATTGAAATGATGGACTTGGAGGTTTCATCGTTTATTCAGTGATCTACAAACCCAGTACTGTATCTGTTTGCATATGTGGTTTTTTTTGTAAAATTATTAATTGTTAATTGCCGGGATATTTCCTGACCCTATTTGTTTTTTGTCTTTTTTTGTATCCTAGGCTTAGCTACATCAAAAAAAGATAGTAGTTCTGAATCCACCTTTTTGGCTACTGAAGAAGGAATGAAAATTATGCCTGGTAAAGAAGGTAACTAAATTCCCCTTGTTGATTCATTTTGGGCCAATTCTGGGTAGGGCAAAGGAAGTATCGCATCTCTCTTCCTTCCCCTACCCCTCTTCACGGGCACTCAAATATGCTGCAAAAGCAGTGCTAATGTATACTTGCATTCTAGTTCCAAGCAGCCCTGTACACCTGTCTGCTAGGAGCAGGATTAATCTGAATGGGACCAATGTGATGCCGTTGTGAAAAAGGCTAATGCAGTCCTAGGAGGAGTCCAGCGAGGTATTCCCAGTAGAGCTAGGAAAGAGTTAGTACCATTATACGAGGCAATGGTGAGACCTCATCTGGAATAGCGAGTGCATTTCTGATCTCCCATGTTCAAGAAAGATGAATTCAAACTGGAACAGGTGCAAAGAAGGACTACTAGAGTGATCAGAGAAATGGAGAACCTACCTTACGAGAAGAGACAAGGAGGTTGGCTTGTTAGGCCTAACAAAACAAAGGCTGAAGGGAGATATGATTCCTCTCTATAAATACACCAAGTGGATAAACGCTAGCAAGGGGCGGAGTTGTTTTAAGTTAAGGGCCGATACTGGCACTAGAACAAATGGATATAAACTGGCAATCAGTAAGTTTAGGCTTAAAATGAAACAAAGGTTTCTAACCATCAGAGGAGTGAAGTTCTGGAACGGTCTTTCAAAGGGAGTGCTGGGGGCAAAAAAACGAACTTTTTTGGAGGCTGAGCTGGTGGATGAGTCTCCTTACAATGGCATATGGCCCATTGCGACTGCTAGTAGCAAATCTCTCCAGTGGCTGGCGATTGGACACTAGATGGGGAGGGTTCTGAGTTACTACAGAGAATTATCTCCCACCTGTCTGGCTGGTGGGTCTTGCTCATATGCTTGGGGTCTAATCGCCATATTGGGCGTCGGGAAGGAATTGTACCCCCAGATTGTCAGAGACCCTGGGTTGGTTTGTTCATTTCTATTTATTTATTTTTTTGCCTACCTCTGCAGTGTGGGGTCTGGGTCATTTGCTTGTTTGAACTAGAGTGAATGGTGTGTTCTCTATAACTTGAAGTCTTCAAATCAAGATTTGAGGCCTTCAGTAACTCAGCCAGAGGCTATGGGCCTATTACTGAAGTGAGTGAGGCTGTGCCCTGTGACGTGCATGAGGTCAGACTAGATCATCATAATTAAGGCTGTGTGCCCGTCATGGAAGTCACGGGTTCTGTGGGCCAGCTGCACGGGCTGTTGCTGGGGCAGTCTCGAGCCACTGCCTCCCACCCCCCAGCAGCAGGAGTAGTAGTTTGGGTGTGGGAGGAGGCTCAGGGTGGCAGGCACCACCCCTGCCGCTCCCATTGGCTGCTGTTCTCGGCCAATGCGAACTGCGGAGCCGGGGGTTCGTGGCAGAAGCAGCACGCAGTAACTTCCTGGCTTTCCCTCCCCTTAGGAGCTGCAGGGATGTGCCGGCCGCTTTTGGGGACCCGTGCGGGCCGGGTAGGGAGCCTGCCAGCTCCGCCAACCCTCACCCCCCAGCATCAGTGGGAGTCCCAGTCTGCACACTGCCCGCCCCTCCCCCAGCACCCGCAGTGCCCCCTGGGCCGCCACACACCCTCTCCCCCCACACCTGCGGCCCCCGGTTAAAATTTTAGTTAGGGGTATATAGTACAAATCATGGACAGGTCACAGGCCGTGAATTTTTGTTTACTGCCTGTGACCTGTCCATGACTCTTACTAAAAATACCCATTACTAAGACGTAGCTTTAATCATGATGGTCCCTTCAGGTCTTAGTCTGAGTCATATGGCCCGCTGCCAGGGCAGCATGGCATGGCAGATATATGTATAACCCTGGAGCCCAGCCCCTAAGCCTTAGGTTCTGTCTAAGAAAACCACGTCATGCTGCAGATGATCTGTAGAACAGCCTTTTTGTAGGTTTTGGTGGATCTTTCTCCCTGTGTTCCTGCTGATGGCTGCATGTATTCCAATGGGAACTATGTTCAACAAGTACCAGAATTTTGACCCTTTTATTACTTGTATGTTTGAGCGTTGAGTAACAAATTATAACGGTGTAACAGCATTTTTAGATTCGTCTTCTGTAATGTAATCATTTCAAAAACATTTTCAGTCTTTAAAAATATTATTTTAACTTTTTAAATTGGAATCCAGTCTCTAATGATCTATAGGTTTATAATTGGCTAGTGACTTCTGATGCTTCGGTTTTTGGGTGCTCAACTTGACAACGCAAAGGGGTCTGATTCTCAGAGGGTGGTTGCTCAGCACTTTATAAAAATCCAGCCCCCCCAACGTTTCTCAAGTTGAACATGTATTATATTACTATTTGCCTTTGAAGATTTTGAGTATTTACAGTTATTTAAAACAAAACAGAAACCTACCCTTCATCTGACTGACTGTATTTTTTCTTGAGAAAAAAAATGTTTTTTTTCTCATCCCAAAAGTTTCAGTTCATGAACAGTTACTAGTTAGATACCGGGTTTCAAGATGTAGGAGCCTAACTACTTTAGGCATCCATATCCCTAATGAGGCACCTAAATAACTGGCTTAATTTTCAAAAAGTGCTGAAAACCCAGCCACTTCTGACTTCAGTCAGAGGTGCTTGGTGCTCAGCATTTTCGAAAATTGGGCTACCTAATTGGGTGCCTAAATATGGACGTTAGGCATCCACTTTTTAAAATCTTGAACTTGGAATGTTACTTTTGCACGCTCAGAATCACTATTTTTATACTTTTTTAGTTCATGTTGAGACCACCAGTATCTTAACTTTGGAGCCTTTGGGTTCTTGTATTCTTTCCTTAGGTACCCCATTCTTTAATCTGTGTTCTGGCTCACAACAGTTGCACTTCATATTTTTTGACTTAGCACCCGCACCCCACAAGATAGAGGATATAGTGATATGAATACTGAATCTGTCCTTGCGCCAACCATGTGGAGATCTCAAATACTGAATGAGAGAGCTTCACAACCAGGGCTTTGGAGCGGAGCCCGGAGCTGGAGCGCGGAGCAGCTCCGGAGCAGTGGAGCTGCAGGTTTTTGCCTGGAGCTGGAGCGGAGCCGGAGCACAGCTCCAAAGCCCTGTTCTCACAACAGCCCTGAGAGTCAGATAAGCAGCATTATCTCTAATTTCATAGATCGGAAAACTGAGGCACAAAGAGGTTAAAATCTTGCTTCACAGTCAGTTGGTACATCTACACTTTGAGCTGGTGGGATCATTTCCAGCTTGAAGAGACATACCCAGGCTAGCTCTGATCAAGCTAACATACTAAAAATAGTGTCTCGCCTCAGTGTCAGGAGCTGCCCCGCATATGATCAGAGCTAGCATGGGTATGCCTCCATGAGCTGGGAATTATGTCTCCAGCTTGAGGTGGAGACATACCTGGTGTTACTTTTGAGCTGAAAAGGAGAGAGCTAAAAGCAAAAGTTGAAACGGGACCAATCTTATTGAATATGTTCACAAATGGAGATAAGTGATTTATCTCCCATTCTTCTTTGATCGTAAGGATTTGAATGTTAATACAGTGTATATAATGCATACATTAGGCAGTGGTCCACACACCATTACTCGCCCACAAAATGTCACTTTCCCTACTTCTCATCAACCATTTAATAAACTGGATACTGAGAGTGAGGTGATGAGGGCTCATATTACTAATTCTTCATTCGTTTAACAACTGTACGCTAGAATATTTACCAGCACATCAAGAAGTATTATAAATACCTAAAAATAAACTACTGGTCTGAAAATAAATGGATAAAGTTCGTGCTGTGAAGTATCAACTTTGCCTTTTAATTGGTTGCTCCCTTGCTTGCTTTGTAAATTAATGAGGTTGTTCTGTATCATACATGCTTGTTTGCTTTAGTTGACTTGTCCTTTCCTGCTTACCATCTCTGGATAATTATTTGCATTACCTCTGTCAGCTTTCCTTGGATCCAGCAGTTCTTCCTCTTCCACTACCTCTTTAGAGAGCAAACCGAATCCGCCCAAGAAATGGAACTCAACTAACAGCACTAAAAAGGCAGTGCCTAAAGTAGCTTCTACCTCATCTAAAAGCAGTGCTCGTACTGTATCTGTTGTATTATTAAAGAACACCGTCACAGGCTGGAAATAGGGATGGCAGGTCAGTTAACTGTTTGGTCAAATATTCGTATAAATGTACTTGCTTTTGCTTTGTCACTGCTTGGGGTGATAACTTAGAGGAGGCACTTGTCAGATAGTTAGTCCTTAAACTTAAGTTTTGTATTTTTGTAACATTTTTACTATTAGAAAATTTGCGGAAGAAGGTGCTGTTCTTAGTCTCACTTACAGATGAACTGCACTTCGGACTATTACTGCAACTTCTAACGCCCAAGTAAACCTTAAATCCAGCATTTTTTAATTAGACTGAATACCCACTGAAGCAAAGGAATGTTTTATCTAAGCAGTGTGTGTGGAACAGGGCCTTGTGTTAAGAGCATATATGAATATTTGACCGGTCGGTTGGCTGACTCTCTGCTGAGACCTCATGATGTACTCCTCTTTGCATTTCAAAACTGCCACTGTCCTAATTTCAGTTTTTCCCTTCATTAAACAGGACTGAATAATGCTTCTCCATCTACAAGAAAAAACCCTTTTGATGAAGGAGAAATTCAGCTTGGAGACAAAGTGCTAGTGGTAGGGCAGAGAACTGGCACTGTTAGATTCTATGGGACAACAAAGTTTGCACCAGGTAATTTATCTGTTCTTAAAATACATTGTAGAATCAGAGTTATGTCCTAGGAACAATATAAATGTTTGGACCTTATTATTTAAAATAGAAATCCAACAATTTAAGAGTTCTATCTCAATTTCACTTTATTGTAATTGAATATTTGACTTTGACATGGAGCTGCTAGAGTAATGGAGAAGATGGTACAGTATTTTAAATTGTGACTGCCACTTGACATTGTAGTCGTTCTCAGAAAGTACAGTAATAATATTCATTTTCTTAAGGCGGCACACCTTTTTTTCCTCTGGGCTTTTATATGCAGCTGTTTTTGACCACACTGATGTCTTGCGTTACTGAAGCTCTGCTAGAACATTTAGTGCTCTTCACTTTTTAGATGTGTCATGGTGATATATTGAGCTTTTTGAGAGTTTTTGTTTGAATTCAGTTACTTGTCAGGACCGTTTTTTGTATTTTTATGCCCGATGAAGTTACCGATAACTAGAGAACTTACCTGCTGGAAATTCTCTCCCCCCCCCAAGTATTCTATAGTTAGGTGTCTTCAGAGGGAAGTGGGTTGTCCTGAAACCATAGGAACTAAAACTTTTGAAAATGTATCCTTTCCAGCCACATTATTCTTATGCTCTCCTGTCATTTTTGAGCTCTTTCATAATCCAAACCGCTGCCTAGAACATAACCATAAGGTTGAGGCAAAAAAGGTTCCATGACCCAATGTCTGCACTTTGGGTGACTGGTATATTTGTACCGCCAATAGTTTAAATCTCAAGCAAGTGGGCTTCCATTTAATGTGGCAATACCCTGTCTTGACACTTGGTGGTATCAGTATTTAAAAAAAATTGCTTAAGATAAAATGTCAGAATGAAATATCAGCAGGCACAAGCCACATTCATCATCTCAAGAAATATGTTCTGTGAAGCAATCCCCATTTAAGATGTCATTATTCTCTAACTTGATAGGTTCTATCGAATCTATATTACTCTAATTGAAAAGCCAAAATAGTCTATTAACCTCAAATGGTTATGTTCCTGAATTTAACTTGCATTGTGGGAATGGATTTCCTGACTAGCTGAGTGGTCACCATGTACGTGGTGTTTTTTTTTTTTTTAAAGTAAAACATCACCATTGCAACTCTTCACCTTTGAAACAGCCATATTTTAAAATGGCAAAAAGTAGCCAACGATACAGAGCTCTGCTTTCTGAGCAATTGTCAAAAACTTGCCCCCCTCCGCACCCCCCAGTTTATTTTTGGTGGCAATGCAGATCTTTTTCAAATAGTTTTGTCTCATCTGCCTTTGGTGGACAGGAAAGAAGGAACTTTTGATATATTGATCATTTCTAATTCATAGGTCACTGTTCTTATTTCTTCAGCTGATAATTAGTATTGCCCTTAAACCTGTAGCCTCAGCACCAAATTGCTTGAATTTAATTTTGAGTCTTTTGGGACTGGACAGCATAAGGATTGCTGATAGGATACAGAACTTCTCACCTTTGCGTAATTAGCTGACACTTATCACAGGTTGGTAGTGATCAAAGTTATTACCATCTGATGGCTGTTCAGTAGCCTGTGTGAAATGAATTGCTGGCCAATGCCAGTTCCTTATACACTTGTATTTGTATCATAAAATCTACCTTGCAATTGGTAATAATTACTTCAGATTTTAGAGAGGGAAAAGGACTGAATGAGCATCGAGTGACATTTGAATCTTAGTAGTGGTCATTTGAGATCAGGATTAAGGCATAAGTGCAGAGAAATTGCCAGGACAGCTTTGTCAAACTGCTGTTTTCAGTAGCCTTAAATTCACTTAAATAAATTGCTTTTTATCTTTTCTGTTTGTCGCTAAAATAGGCCATTTTTCTTAAAATAGATTTAAGTTTCAAGTAATCAACAGTATTTCTAGTCTATTTTGAATAGACCATTCGTATCTCAGTGTATTTTAATATAATTTAGTTAACTGTTCTTATTTTTCTTCTGTATGTTAGTGGTTGCGTACATTTTGATTTGACTTAATGAGGTCACTTCTGGGTCAGGGAAATCCTGTCTCGGGTTTGGTTAAATACATAGATTGTTATGTATAAGTTAGTCATATGCACAAAAACTTGAACATCTGTTAACTATTTTAAGTACAAAATTTTAATGTTATCCCTGGGTAAAAGTAATATTGAAATTCCAAATTCCAACTGTAGGCTTTTGGTGTGGCATTGAACTGAATAAACCTCACGGCAAGAATGATGGTTCAGTTGGAGGGGTCCAGTACTTCAGTTGTCTCCCCAGATATGGCATATTTGCCCCACCAACCAGAGTGCAGAGGTGAGTAATGATACTGTTTTATGTCTGTGTCACAAAACGTTTTCTCACTTCCTCTCCAATGGGGAACAAACCAAAGAGGAAAAGCAATTATTCCTGCTGCTGGGGAGGTGGTAGATCCCCTTGGTTCTGAGACTAGGTTGTTGAAAGAGTACTAGTATGTCCCAGTACCAGTGCTATATAAACAGGAAGCATATCCAGGTGGCTGTTTCAGCAACCTCACAAATCTAAAAATATTTCATTCCATCCCATTGCCTCTACATCGAGTGATTAAATTTAGGGACGTAACTAATTCAGTAGATGCTTTCGAAAGCTCTCTTTTTTAGGGCCAAATCCTGATACTGTGAGCAGAATTCAAGTACAAGGATTCTGCCTGTGGATGCTATATAGCTTCCTGGTGGGTATAGATCTCACCAGTTGGATCACAGCCACTACCATTGGGCTTGGGGTAAGGAATGCCAGAGATAACCCTGTGCTCTCTAGCCATGTGTGCTTTTGATTGGTGGAGGAGCACAATGCCTGTGTCTAGTTACCATGACTGACATACCCATTCCACTTCCCCTTTTTCTTCTCCTCCAGTCTTCTAGTATGGCAAACCATCACAGAGTGATGCCCCACAGCATAAAAGATGATGCATAGTTTCCCCCTTTCTACTGTTGGGTTATAACACGCAGAGGAATCAGAACTCTATCTGTAGCCTTTAGATGTTTGTCTGTGTGTGTGTGTGTGTGTGTGTGTGTGTGTGTGTGTATGTGTATATATATATATAATAATCATTTTCTGTTGCTGCATATGCTCTCAGGCAAACTTTCATCCTGCACCTTCAGTAAGACTTAAGATGTCTTCTGAGTTTTCTTGATCTTGAGCATACTGCACCTTTTCTGTATCCTTAGATACACACATGCAACATTTTATATTACTAGCTGTCGGTTGACAAGACTTTCTGTAGTAATGTATACAAGGAAGAGGTAAGGCCTCTGGGACTCTGAACTCTGCATTTACTGACTTATGGGCAACTAAAAGCTCAATCTATTTAGGATGAAAATTTAACCAGCATGGTGGGGAGGATTCAACCCTAAATTAATCCAACATATTAAGTCTTTTGAAAAACCTTGCAACAGATCTTTAGCCAAAATAGCCCAGCAATATATTTCTTAAAGTTGAAATTAAACAATATTAATTTGAGACTTTAACCCATTATCTCACTTTAGGTTAACAGGTTCCTTAGACTCCCTCACAGAAGTTTCAACAGGTAAAATGAATCATTCTTTCCCAGGTAAGAATCTGAGACGTGGGTCTGGTTTTTTTTGGATAGCCTGTAGAACATTTCTAGAAATTGCAGCTTCCTGGACATGCCACCCAGGTTCTTTGAATGGCCAAAGCAAAACGGACTTTTAGAGCAACCCAGATGCCCCAAGATGCATTGCTATTTGACTTCTCCCTCCTTTACTGACATTGATTGCCCAGTCACTGTCTGCAAGCAGGATTGGAGTTAGGAGACTGACATGCTATCAGTTCCTTCAGTTGCAAAAATGGAGGAAATAATTGCATCAGGCATTGGAATGTAACCCATCAATCCAGTGAATAAAAATGAATTTACTTCCTTGACCAGTTCTTTTGGTCCCTATTTATACATACTGGGGTTTTTGCTTGTACTAAAAAAACAAACAAAACCCTGGCTTCGGAATGGACTTACTGCAATAAATGGATATTTCCCCCTTTGTCTACTGTTGACTTAGAAAGTTGTTTTGAAAAGCTCTGGGTACTTTTTATGCACTCAATTGTATTATATAAAATACAAGGCACTTTGGCCCAATGGATAGAGTGCTAGGCTGGGACTCGGGAGCCAGGAGTTATTTTCCTGTCATGGCCCCAGACCTGCTGTGTGCCCCTGGGCAAGTGAACTTCCCCTCTTTCTGCGTCTGTTTATGCTGTAAGCTCTTTGGGGCAGAAACTGTGCCTTAATGTGTATTTTTACAGTGCTTGGCATGATAGGGTCCTGCGCTCAATTGCTACCATAGTACTCTTTTTACTGATGATAATTAAAATTCTTGCCAAAAATGTTACCATCTAATACAAAAAGAAAACAAAACAGAGGGCAGTGGGGGGCATAGAAGGGATTGTTGAGATCAGAATAGGGATGATTCACAGATAATTTGGGTTTGATACAGGGCTAGTGAATTATTTATGAAAAATTGGCATTTTTTCTAAACAAATTTTGTTATGGAAATTTTCAAAATTTTGATTTATTTAGTTCTACCTACACCTTGTTCCTCTTCCTCCTCAAAATTCTTGAACATTTATTGGTTGTTATGGAATTTTTCACAACAAAATACTTACCATTTCCCAAGCAGCTGTAGTTAGGGATAGTGGGGAGGGTGCTTAGCAAACGAGAAGGGAGCAAAGAAAGCGGTTGTGCACGTTTTATTTTTAAATCAAGCAGCTTAGTCACCTTATTTATTCACTTTCTCCTGTAGGTTTTAGACGAAGTTTAAGTACAACTTCTGCATCTTCACAGAAGGAGATAAACAGGAGAAACTCCTTTGTCAAGTGAGTGTTTGTTTAAATATGTATTAACTCTGCAAAACTGGGCAGCTGTAGTTTAGAATCACTGAAAGAAGCCTAATTTCTTTCTCTAACTAGATCTAGAAGCTCGATGCTGCGGCGTAGTTGGAGCAACACCACTACGACTAACACTGAGGGACCTGTGAAACTACATGAGGGTTCTCAGGTCCTTCTAACCAGCTCTAATGAGATGGGCACAATTAGATACATTGGCCCTACCGACTTTGCACCAGGGATATGGCTAGGACTTGAACTCAGAAGTGCCAAGGGAAAGAATGATGGATCTGTGGGTGACAAGCGCTACTTCACCTGTAAGACAAACCATGGAGTCTTAGTTCGGCCTAGTAGAGTAACCTATCGTGGGATTAATGGAGCAAAACTTGTGGATGATATTTGTTGAACCAGAATGCTTACAACCTGTGCATCAAGTGCTAGTGCAATGATATATAAGCATTAAACCACATACAATAACCCCAACATCATCTGCACGGAATACTGACTGAAATTTTATCTAAACTATTAAACCTGCTTTTTTTGGTAATGTATCTCTTCAGGCTCTAACCACCTCAGAATCATAATAAGAAGTGGAAATCATATACCCCTCTCTCCTATTTTGACACAGTCCCTGCCTGTGAGTTTCTTGTAAAAGCATTATGGGTTTGATACTGTATTATTTGAATAATGGCCCACTCTGAGAAGGCCAGTATAGTTGACATTCTTTTAAGTTGCTTTATGATTCAGTGTATTTGGAAGGTTTTCTTCCATGTACTAATGAACTGATACATCATTCTCCTGCCTTTTCATAACAAAGGAGATTGTTAAATGAGTCACATTAGTCTATGCAGTATTGGTCCCAGGATATTAGAGACAAGGGTGAGTGCCAGAATATATCTTTTATTGGACCAACTTCTGTTGGGGAGGGAGACAAGCTTTTGAGTATGCAGAGCTCTTTTTTTTCTTCTTCTTCCCAGACCTGAAGAAGAACTCTGTATAGCTTGAAAGCTGCTCTCTCACCAACAGTAGTTGGTCCAGAGAAAAATATTCCTCCTCCACCTTGTTTCTCACATTAGTCTGTTTACCAGACACTTTGTCCATCTCCCTGTGAGCTAGTAGTAATAAGCAGGAGAAATTACTCTTTAAAAAAAAAATCAGTTGTGAAACAATTAAGTATTTTATCATTCATAAAAAACCCATCTCAAAAAAAACCACACGGGGCTAATGGAAAAACTGTAATTGGAAGAATTTGCTGCTCCCGTGCTATGCCAGTGAACAGCATGAATGAAACAGAAAAAAGACTGTAAAAAGCACAAATACACTGTTTCTGGTTTGCACTTTTCTCTGTGTGGATTTGTAAAAAGACAGCAGCATGCAAGATGCACTTTTGAAAATATAATGCACTTTCATCTCTTCTCCGGAGAGCTTTCCCCCATTGTTTGAAGAAATTCTTTTGTTTGCTGTTGCTGCAGGCTACAATCATCAACATGTTTCAATGCATATAGATAGAACTTAGGTTCACCTCACATAGTACTTGCATCAAAGTCCTTTTTATGTACTGTCTGCAGGAGGTACTATACAGTATATGTATATTTTTAAAGCAAACATTATTCAGTTTTTACTTTGTTTGCATTTTATATATTTCGTCATTGTCCTTCAGAGCACTGTTTCTTCTTTGCTACATTTGCCATTTATAAAATTCAAAAATTGCCTATGAATCTTTTTAGAGGTAGCATGTTTAACACTCTTCTTTTGATTATTTGGCTGCAACATGATTTGTCTCAGCCTTTTAAAATACTCAGTGTTTTTAGAATTTGTTTCATATACATCTTGAACAGCTAAAATACATAACCTGTTTAGCATGTATTAACTATCTTTGTTAGTGCAAGTATACAAGTTTCAGAATATCTCAAACAGAAAAATGGTTTGACACTTCTGAATGAGCTGTTTGTTGCATTTCACTTAGTTGAGAAATGTACCGCGCTTTAAATTACATTTGTAGTATCCTATTTTTAGACTGACTTTGTGCAGCTTATACAATGTATTTTAAATATGGCTATTTTTCCTGGACTATTAAAGAAGGCTGCATATTGTATTCTGATCTATGGAAGTTTTTAACTGAAGATAAAAATTGTAAATTTTTGAATGTACACATTTTATTATAAACTGTCTAAATTATAGCTTTGTATTTGAAATTAGCAAGGTTCTGAACATCTGTATGTCCAAATCTGTTTCTTCCATGTTTTATATCTATAGGTATCTTTTTTTTCTGTAATTAACTCAGTATTCACCGATCTTTGATTTATTAATGCCCATTCTTTTAAAGATCATTTGCTTTTGGGGGAGCATGTCACAAAATGATTGTCCTTTTTTCCCTTACAAATTATGTAAATAGGACAGAGAAATGGCAACTCTAATATATAAACAGGTTTTATATCTTCGTGCAGTTTATCATATTGCTGTATGGTATAGAATTGCAAGCTGCCAAACAAAGTGTATACATCACTTAAACTGGTCTTGTTTTTCTCTCTCTCCACCCGTTTTGGATAGTGCAATGTCTGTAATAACTTTCTGGTCTCAGCAGTCGCCTAGGCCCTAGGCATTCCTGATTTTTAATTCCAGATCTGCCTAGACTCAGTAAGTGTGCTTGGGCAGGTTCTTTGTCCACTCTTTTAATTGCTAATGAGGATAATGTTCAGGTGCCATAGTTCATCTGTGCAAAGGCACAGCTACTCCTGGTTCCCACTGTTGGAGGGCCTTGCTTTCCTGTTCTTTGTGCCAAAAATGATCAGCAGGGGGATAGTTAATCTCTCTGTAGTGTCAAGGCTGAAGGCCGGTGATGACCGGAAGGCTGAGATCGAGCCTGGCTCTAATTTTTAGGCATGTCACTTGCCCTATTGTGCTCTATTTCCCAGTCTACAATCGGGCTGATATTTAACCTTTTCTAAAGCAATAGGAAATCTTCAGCCAAAAGCTCTCCCGTGGTATACAAGTGTCAGTCATGGCTCTGATGGTATTCCTATATGACCTTGAGTGAGTCATTTAACCTCCCTGTCTGATCTTTATCTGTTTGGGCTTGAATAGCTTTTTTTCCCACAACTTTGTCAGTCCTGTTGCCACTAGAAAAAAACCACCATGAACTTTGAAACACATTTACTTTGCTAAATAGCCACTGCAGCTAGCCTGAAAGGAGCTTAACAGGACTTGCTCTGATTTTTAGGTAGGAGTTGAAATATTATGTGAAGTTACTTCTAAGCCTAGTGATGACAATAGTTCATCCTCGGATTACAAGCCAGGGGTGATGTCCTGTAAATGAACTGATGTTGAGATAATGATGGCAGAGATTTCAATATATAACCCAACAGCTGGAGTTAGTTTGTCATTTTATTTATCTTCATGCCGTTTGGTTCACTACACTTGTTTACAATACAAATACACTATTCAATACAAAATACTCAATGACCATATATTAGTATGTCTTTTAATATCCCTGAAGTGCATAGGCCCTTCCTTTATACATAGTGTTGCATAAGCTGCTGTACCTGTGATAGACATTCTAATGAAGCAGTGTTACAGACCAGAAAAGCTGGATGCAGATACTCTCCTTTGAGGAATATGGGGTAGGCAACATGTGAGGTCTTTTATCCCTGTAAAGGATTTTTATACTACTCGTTTTTCAAGTTTTTTTTTTACACTAAGCTGATGGTGTCAGCTTTAGGCCAGGCTTGCAAAAATCAAACTCTTCTTAAGAGACAATAGACTAATCCTGTCATGCATTGTAGAAATGAGACCACAGAGACTTCTGTGCCAACGCACCACCTTTGCCCAGACGCAGAAAGGGAAGCGGGTGGTGCTACAGTTGGATGCGCCACTTGACTGGTTCATTAGAGGCTGAAGCCATCACCATTTTTCAACTCAAGTCAGCTACCTGAAACAAACTGTGGGGCCTCAAGTAAACTTGCCCATGAGCTCCCTGCCAGTCCCAGCATGACATGGAGCAACCTAAACGCAGATGGAGGCCATTGCCCTGTACTTCCTGGCCCATGTCCCCCTCTCACACTGCCATACCCCTTCCTTTCCCTGTTGTAATTCATCTTATAGCTGCCTGAATGTACAACTCTGATGAGGTACATAGGTGGGGGCACCCACCTAGAACCTACTGAAATTCTACAAGAAACAACTACTGCCTAGCTCTAGTCCACATGGGCTTTAACCAGTTTGTTAAATGTCCTACAGCTATTCTGTAGTTATTTTTCCATCACACTACGTGTCTTATAGGCTGTCGTGCTACCCACATTTCACTATAGCATAAAGGTAGCTACATATGATAGCCAAATGAAGACATTTACAATGAGATAGTATTCCCCCCCATGTGGGCCTTGTGATTCTACTATAAACTATGTACATGAACATTTTATATAACTGTTACTCCAAGACATGCTTACTTTTAAAATATTGGTTCTGGACAAAAGTTTGTTACAAGTGTAAAATAGCTTCTAGTGTTTTAGATGGGACTCCTGGGAGACATGACATGTCAAAGTGCTCCAATCATGTGAGCTCACATGATCAGGCATTTAAAACAGAGCCTGCCTGAAGCAAGCCCTCAATTTCCCCCTCTACATACAAACCTCCCCTCCCACACACATGTTCGTGGGACAAGTCTGCTTTTGGTATACAGCTGGAGTAACCAGTGAAAAGACTGCGGCATTATGCGGATCCTACAGCATTAGGCTTATGAACACTGAATAGTGTCAGAGCCTCCAAGGGAGACTTTGGGTGGGCGGGAGGGGGAATAGCTAAAATAAAAGACTTTTAAAAAAAACAACCTGAAATATCCATCAATCAGTGCATGACCATGCAGACACTGAGCTGTTTTTCATCCCATTCATGTGTTCTAACTTCATCCCTCCTCCCTTGTAGTTCTATGTGGTGACAAAGGTAACAAACCCGGCTGCTGTGAAGTTGCCCTTCCCACCTGCTAGGAAAGAACTCGTTATGCATGTCTTGAGCCATTGCATTTTTAATTCCTTGTCTGAACTGATTGCTGCAGATCATTTCACAAAGCAGAGCAGTGACAATCCAAGTGAAGCAGAGCTATTACCACACCCTATTGCAACCCCTTTAGACAAGACTATTATCAATAAAAATTTCAAGCGAACAGGCACTGTGCAATACTGGGAGTGTGAAATGCTATTTTACCCACAGAGCAAACAGGCGGCAGCAAGGAGAAGTTTCCTTTCATTACCACACTACTGGGGTTAGTGTGCAGGGATTAAAGCCCTGATCCTGCAAACACATTGTCAGCGAGACTACGGAGAGGCTTACAATTAAGCAATGAGTTTAAAAGCATGAATGCAACTCTGAGGGGGGAGTGGGTGTATACGTGTAGCACAGGGCAGAATATGATCCACACAGTGCTAAGCTGGAGGTCACTGTCACTGGTGACAGGCATCGGCCCATGCAGTATACTGAACTGCACAAGAAGGGGGGGAGGGTGGGTGTGTGATGAGCTGGGTCACATTTTGTATTAGAAATAAGTCACAACTACATGTTCTGAATGCCTCAATACCAGGAGACGTATGTCAGTAGCTGAATTCAGACCTACCTCTGTGGGGCCATGTCTGCACTGGCTCCAAAACTACAAAAGCAGCTCATTGCTGGTCATGTTGTGGCTGTGTCTGAAACTGATTATGCAAGATGATGGAAACCTCATGAGAAATGCCAACTCAGAGTTCTGACATTTGGGCCAAAATCTCATGCTAAAAATCTTGCTCCACAGCATTCAACCTCAGCTCTAAACCTAGTCTTGATTCAACAGATCCTAAGCCCAGCGGCACGCTGAACACCACTGTCCTAGTCCAAAGCACTTTGCACAGAGACTATCAAAAGGAAGATTTCATTAGAACTATCTGAGGTTTGTGCCTCTTTGAAGATCTCATCCTACGCTAGTCTCACCAAGTATGGGAGAAGAAAATATTGTCAGCAAATCTGAATTACAGTTCCCCATTTTTCACTGACCAAAACATGCTGTTCATGTGGGCCAGCTGTAAATGGTAGCAATGGTTTTAGCTCCTTTAAGACCATATGACTAGGTTCTGCCCTCAGCTATACATGCTAGTAGAGCAGTAAAAACTCAGAGCGGTTTCTTGCCTTGAAAGGAGTGAGAGAAAGCAAAAAGCTTTCCCTTGGGGTCTGCTTGAAAAAAATTCATTTGGACCCTTTTTTAAAAAGGAAAAGAAAGCTGAAATGTCTAAAGAAAATTTCAGTTCCACATGGATAATATTGCAGTGCAAACAGCCTTGATGGTACACAGTAAAGCTCAGTCCTTGTTCTCCCATGGAACACGTTGTCTTTCCTGAGACCGTAGAAGAGTTCTTCACTTCTTGTAGTAGCAAGAGTAGTGTGAATGCAACAGTGCTAAGCTAGATGGAATGGCAGCCCTGATCCAGTGTCTGGAAGCAAGTCACTCCTCTAGTGGCTGGTCCACCGAGAGGATTAGACACCTCAATATCCTTTTAGCTCAAGTGGAAGAGGCCTCTGTATTTGCCACAGACGGTCCTGAGTTCTGGTCCCCACTACATGAAATCCATGCAGCCATGACATGCGACATACCAGTAGCAGATGAGTGAAGTCCAAAGCACCCACAGAATCATTACAGTTCACAATTCAGACCTGCTAACATAAGCCTCATTAAAAAAAAAAAGTTTGATGCACAATTTCAACATTACGCTACTAAGACGTCAGCATTATTTACCAGAGGGGTGGGGGAAGGCAGAGCAGGGACAAGAACTTCACTTTAAAGATGGGGGTCTCAGGTCATAGTTGTCAGATTTGGATCTTTCTCTGACACCCCAAAGCCTGGGGTGTTTTGATATGGGGCTCTGGTTTCTTTCGTTAGAGATTTTACTGCAAAGTTTGGATCCAGGACTGGATGCTGAACCACTCCCCCAACGTTAAAGGTCTTGGATCCAGCCCCATCTCTTCTATATTCCTTTGCTGCTGCTCCGATAGACCTATTTCTATGGAAATAGGCACCGTGTATTTTAGACAGCACTGCTGCTTCAGCAGCCCCAGCGGAGTATATTGTAAATGATTAATGTACATCTGAATTCAACTCTTATGTGTATATTGTAACAACACACGTTTCATGCACAAGGTGTACCGAATGCAGCAGTGCAGCTTTGGTTTTTTAACAGACTAGCATACAAGAATTCTGTTAAAGGAACGAGGGTAATGAACCCTTGAAATGCAGACACTGCCTAGAATCAGATGAGGGTACAAAGTCAAGCCTTCTGGTTGGAGTTGTTAGTAAAGGGCATTTCAGACCTTTGTATTTCCATCTACTGGTGACTTCTCCCTGTAAAGGCCTTTTTAACGTCTCTCTCACACAAAACTGGCCCTGTAAAATTCCATCTGAATTCCACTGAATAACAAGAAGTTCCTGTAGAACCCGGTGTTTCCTTTCTGTAGCATAGAAAGAATTTTAAGGGGCCAGTACTGTCCTTGGCTTTGGGTCTGAAAAAAATATAAATCCTCCTCCTTTTGCACTTCATTCTCTTCCTCTACAGTTAGTTATCTTCCCATCTTACTCACAAACCAGACAGTGTGACTGGCATCTTTCCATTGCCTTGCCAATGATACCGTAATTACTGCATATTCAAGGGCTGGTGCAGACTATGTTACTGCAGTAATGCAGCTTGGGAATGTTCCCTGGTGTCTTCATTCAAAGATGTTTTATCCTTTTTGTTTTGAATAAATGGTTCTTTCCCAAGCCACCTCAAACCTCTGCCATCCATAGGGGATTTTAAGAGTCCCATTCCACAGCAACCAGCAGCTTGGCAAGGAAAACCCCAAACATGAAATACTCAGGCAGTGAAACCTGACCTTACATTTAAGCGGAGCATACACAATTGAGAAGAAGCACACAGGGAAGGGCACGACACGACAATGACCATGCATATACGTTTATGCAACCGAAAGCTGGGCCTTGCAGTTAACGTTAATATCCCCCCTTTCTCGTAGTAGTAGTAGCAGAGGCTCCAATGAGTTGAAGCTTCTTGGGTTATCTGAAAACACGGCTTCAAAGGGTGGCACTTCAGAGCTAGTTGGCACATAATGAAAGTTAGCGTTGTCTGCTCTCTCTTGGATGACAAGGACAATACTCTCCAAGCTCAAGAGCCACACAGAATGAGAGTCAAGAGTGCAGAGGGCTCTCAAGGCCCCTGATGGACTACGTGGCTCTTGTTTCTAAGGACAGAGTCCTCATAATTGCTAGCGCAAGGTGGGGCAGAGGTTTCCAGGGGTAAGCCCTGCTGTTGGTATCCATAGTTGACGTTCCCACAGGGGAAGTGGCGGAGCCTAAAGAGAGGCACTTCTTTCACACTGGCTGTTAGTGAAGACGGTTCTAAGAGCAGAGAGGAGCCTGGCAGCCTGCTAGTCACGACACCAGGCCCCACAGTACAGTTTCCTTCGTGCCCCAAATTCTCCCTCTCGGACACCTCTTTCTCCAGCAGAGAATTGTTTTTGATGACAGGCTTCTCTGCAAACCAGGAGCCATATGTTGGATTCCAGAGATTGGTGGGCTTATTTCTGGACCCCCTGCCTTTCTGAAGGTCAGAAGCCGGGGTGGACTGCGCATAGGCCATGTTGATGTGTCCCGCTTCGAGGGCTGGTCGCATATTAACAGGGACCAGAGGCTCGGGGGCTGCCACTTTTGCCAAAGGTTTTCCAGCTGTGACGGCTGAAGGCAGAGGGGGTGGAGAAGGCAGGGCCTGCTTGTCACCCTCTCTCTTTTGGTGTGGGGAGATCACCAGAGGAGGGATTGCTTTGGGGTCTTCTGGGCGCATTGGAACCTTCTCCTCCTCCTCAATGGATGGGCCATATTCCACAGGTAAAGCGGTGGTGATGACATCAGGATCCTAGAGGGGAGAACAATGAGATTCTTTCAAACTCTTGCCACTGCTGATATTCAGGCATTGTTGCCAATTGCCTCCTATTTATAATAATTGTCCTGTAGCCAAAGAGCATCTTTTGCCAAAGAGGAGCCCAAACTTTATAAAAGGAATCTCAGGGAAATGCAACTACCACTGGGGTGGAACGTGACAGCTTTTTTACCAGCACAGAAAAACACAGCACGTTAGTTTAATGTAGTGAAGAATTCCCATGTGCAACTGAAACTGCAGGGAGAAAGTTGGGCTGATACAGATTGGAACACAGAGTTCATAACATTCTTTTTTAGTCCAGAAGCAGTTACAGCTGTGAAAATGTAGCAGCAATGTGGTGCAGGGTGGAGACTCAGGCATGCAGGGTAACATTTTCAAAAGCACCTAAGCCACTTAGGAGCATAAGCCTTAGGAGTCGGGCGCCTAAGTAGTTTCGGCGTTTCAATGGGACTTAGGCACTTTTGAAAATGTTACCCAGAAAGCTGTAAAAGTGTGGGAAGCTGGTCAACTGCTTACTAGTAATAGACAACCAAAAAAACAAACACAAAACCTGGAGTTAATGTCTCCGCCTGAGGATCTAAAAGCAACTTTCAAAAATTAATGGATTAAACCTCACAATGTTCCCTCTAATTTTTCCCATCCATGTGCAGAATGAATTTTGTTATGTGCGCCAATATGAAGGTGATGTGTGGCGGGGATGGGGCCAAGAGGTTCGCAGTGTGGTATGGGGCTTAGGGCTGGGGCAGAGGGATGGAGTACAGGGGGGTGAGGGCTCCAGCTGGGGGTGCGGGCTCTGGGGTGGGGCTGGGGGGGGGATGAAGGATTCAGGGTGCAGGAGGGGGCTCCAGGCTCGGGCGGGGGGTTAGAGTTTGGGAGATGGTAAGGGTTCCGGCTGGGGGAGGGAGGCGTCTCTCCCCGCCGCAGCCCCGGAGTTGGGAGGGAGAGGCGTCTCAGGCCGGGGAAGAGGCGTCTCTCCCTGCCGCAGCCCCGGAGTTGGGAGGAAGAGGCGTCTCGGGCTGGGGGAGAGGCATCTTGGGCCGCTGCAGCCCTGGGGCTGGGGGGCAGAGATGTCTCTACTTGCCGTGCCACAGCACTGGGGCTGGAGGAGTCGCCACAGCCCTGCATGCCCCAAGCTTCCCTATCACCACCTCCCACCTCACCCCACTGCCCCCACCTACCTCCTAGTCCCCACCTCACCCCACTGCCCCCACCTATCCTCAATCCACATCTCACCTCACTGCCCCCACCTACTCCCTAGTCCCCACCTCACCCCACTGCCATCTTTCAGGCCCACCTTTGTGGAGTGTGCACGCCTGTGTGGCTCTGCCAATTAAGTGTGCAGCCTTTGATGGCCTCTTGCACGGCTGCGCACCTTAGAGGGAACATAGCTCACAATACCCCAGCGGGTGGCTCAGTACCAGACCTATTTTATACATGGGGAAACTGAAGCTCGGAGTGGTGAAATGACGTGCTGTCTGGCCTGTGCAGGTCTGTATCAAAGCTTGCAAGCCAACAGTTTCCTGACTGCTTCATTTGCAAGACCACTAGACTAGAAGAGCTGGGTTAATGAGCTGTGTACTAAAAAGGGAAATCAGGTTCAGGCCAGGAGACCCAACCCAATCCCTCTGCCTGACCTAAAAGCTCCCAGCTCTTACAGCACTGCAGCCCCCAATTGTCTTCTCCAAACTGGCCAGGTCCGAGGCCCTAAAACACATGAAGCTAGAGATGGGCCCAAGGTAAGAAATGTAATCTGATTCTAGATCCAGACTGCCCCAGAGTTCATCACTGCATCCAGTGTTCCAGTTCAGATCCAGCTTGGCTCTAACCAAGAAATTTCAGTCTGGATCCAAACCTTTCCACAATTCAAGGGGTCTACTGGAACTGGTGCCCTGGGTCAGATCCATCCCTGCTCAGTACTGGTCAATATCTTAAGAATTAAAATGTGCAAAGTGGCTGTTATCTGGCAATCCCCTTGCAGCACAGCTAAGGAAGAAAGGAGTGAAAGTGCTAGAGTGCAACCTGGTGGACTGGCTCAGGCCTTTGGCTTGCTGGGGAACTGTACCTTGATGTAGAAACAGCAATCACAGAGTTGCTATACCTGTGTACGGCCTCTCCTCTGTGGGGTGTGTGCATGGGCAGTGAGGAGCACCCTCTCTTTGCCCTTCAGAAACACATGCTTCCATCTCACTGCCCAGAGAGGAGCCATCACCTCAGTTTACTACAGGACACTGATTTCAGGCTAACACAACATATGTGTTTATAGCTCACTGCAGTAGTGCAGTACTGCCCCCTGGGTGTCTTACGCTGAAAGATGAAAGAACGAATACCTGGGTGCAGTATTCAATCCTCTCCAGTATTATGGCAAAGTTTGGCCTGTCTTCAGGCTGGTGCTGCCAGCACTGGGTCATTATACGATACCTACAACAGCAGCAGGAGAGAAAATCATGAAAAGCAGGAAGGCAAAAGGAAGATGCGTTTGGTAGTTAATGGACTTCAGTTCACCACGGTCCATCAGTACCCATCAGCCCACCAAGTGTTCATTGTCACCTTCCACGATTAGTGAAAAAGTCCATCCTGCTGTGGGTTCAAGTGTAGGGTCCTATACCACTCTCCATCTGCATGCAGATAGTGCACCTCAAGGGCCAAATATACCCTTAAATGCTGCTGTTTGGAACATGTTGTGAAATTGACACCACTGGTGAAAAAAATCAGGCCTTTGCTACATATGGGGAAGACCTAACAAAGTGGCTATTTCCATCCAATCCCCTCCTCACTTCCCACACACTCGAAACATTATGTCTGGTATTGGGGGGAAAAACACCTCTACGGAGAGGGAAGCTGCTCCAACTCCCACTTAGAAATCAAACTGATAAGAATGCGGGGGTATGGATTCAAAGAAGTGGGTTGGGAATTCCCACACAGATGCCTTGCCAGGAGTCTCTTCTACCATACATCCTTTGAAAATATTCCTTCCAAACCATGATGTTCCTTTTCCACACAGACTTAGGTGGGCCATTCAGATGAAGACAGGATGTTACCCCATGTTGTCATACACTGCCCTTGGTGGCTGCTCAGGGAAGTATCGCCTTGAGAAACTAAATTGGAAGCCGCTGCACTGCAAGAGATCTAGTGATAATTGTGTGCTACCTTTATTCCAAATGGTCCCAACACTATTGAACTGATTTTCAAAGGCACTGAGCCCCTACAGCATATTTGAAAATCAGGCCGTCCAGGTAGACGGATTGCTTCATCTGGCACCTGTGGGGTGGAATCCAGCGACACTTCAGAAAAATGATCTAGCCCCAATTGAAACCACACAGGGAATTTACTGTAGGCAGGTTAGAACCTAATTAACTGAGCCACGGCTTTGCTACTTGTGAGCAACACCTGGGATCTTTAATGGCCACAGGTGGTCAGAACTTGCAGTTTTACATCTAATCCGAAGGACAGAGCTATTGACCGATATTTTTTAACACATTAGCCAATGGTCCATACTTCCCAAGAAGGCACCGACTATTAACCTAAAAGAGCTGACAGATAACATTACCAGTAGAAAAAAGTCTCTGGAACTTGAGTTAATTAAGGAAGGTCATTAAATATATGGTAATAAAGCTAATAATCTTCTAGCCAGAGCAGAGTGTTCATGCACAAAATGAGTTAGTCTCATACACAGGGCCAGGGCAGTTTTTGGGTGGATCCATCCTTCCTCCATTTGTTACGAACTCCAGAACCTCCTGGTTACTTTTGCTAGGATAAGGCATATATCCAAGAGAGAATATCTCCCACAGCAACACACCAAAGGACCTGGACACAGAACAAAAGGAAAGAAGGTCAAGGACACAGGCACAAAATAGTATTGCAATTCAGTGGCTATGCACTTAGAGCCATTAAAACCAGTATTTGCTTTGTGCACCTTACAGTCAGTCAACCTGTGGAACTCTCAGCTGCAGGAGAACACTAAGACAAAGTGGCTGATGTAAAAGAAGGGCTGGATGACTTTATGGGCATCAGTAACAACTGTTGTTAAGCAAGCCAAGACTGTGATGTGGGTAATTAAATGTCATGCTTCAGAGTACAACTACACTGTTTGCCCAGCAGGGTCAGGAAATAATCATATATACTTGGTGTCTAGCATGTTATAATTGGATACAACAGGTGTATTATTGTGAGAGGACTTGTCTTCTTTTGAGGCATTGGGTATTAGCCCCTGCTGGAGCCAGGACTGTGGTTTGATCCTTTATGGCAAATCCTGTGTTCCTGAATAAACAACAATGCACTTTGCTCTTGTACAGAGGATACAAGTGACCCCTAGCTGAAGAGTCCTAGCCCCATATGTTTCAGGGAATTAAAATTAGAACATTCCCTGGGTTACATCACAAGCTTTGGTCTCTGTGGCTGGGCATGTAACACTCTGAAGATTGAAAATAGAACCTCCTCAGCATTCATTTGACTGGCAGCTTGGAAAACGCCAACATTTTATGGGTTAAAGGCTGCAGTGCAGTTGGGAACAGAATAAAACAGCCCAATGATCACCACTTTGGTGCTGATGGACAGCAAACAACGCTACTGTGTCCTTGGGAGGATTTAACTTGCTCCATCAGCTGTGAAACAGGCTCTATACTCTCACTCCACACCCTGGGAAGGCAGCTGGTGAACATTAGTACTGGTGGCTTCACAGTCTCCCCTTCTCCCCAAACACTCTCCTGCACTCCTGGCTTCCTGACCCAGCTTCGCCTGAGCAATTCTTTCCCAATCAGCAGTGCACTTGCTCTGTCAACACTGGCCCTCCGCTTCCTGACACTAGGGACCGCCAGCCACGGCAGAGTGAGCAGGGCCAGGCTCAGACACACAGGGCAAGTGACTGCTCAAGACCCTGCCCTTTTGGGGGTATCCACAGCCCTTCACTGACTCGGCAATTTACATGCCAGCCCAATCCCTCCCACCCTCCCCTGGACCACACGGCTTCGTGTGCTGCATTGGGCCAAGAGGAGGTGGCAATTTAGGGCGTGTTTACACTTGCTCCTCTGACACTGTCTGTGTCTGACCCTGCCGCTGAAAGATGGTTTGCTCCTACAAAGAGATTAGACTCCTTTCAATAGCGTACAACGGACACCTTCCTTCCTAGATCACCTGTTCATAACCAATACAGCATTAAAGCCAGATCCATTGCTCCCAGGAGAGAGCCTTCACTTTGCAAGGCTCTGGCTATTCGCTCCCTCATTCCCTCCACTAGATCCCTTGCTTTCAAAGTTCCATCTCTTCTTTTTAGGAGGGGGGAAGGACAGGAACGTGTTCCTTTTACAAGGGAAGTAGATAGTGAGTCATTTGTAAAAACAGATCAAGAAAAAAGAAGCCCACCATGTATCAGTTTTTGATGTAAATATTCCTTCCATAAAGGCCTCAGGTGGCATCCATTTGACTGGCAGCATGGCACACCCGCCCTTTCGATAATAGCTGGCCCTGCAGAGGAAAAACAAAGTGAGCAGTCGGCCCAGGATTCAGAAAGAAAGTGGTATTAATATAGTACTTTTCTAATTAAAGGATTACAGTGACCAGCCTGGGGGCTGGCTCATTTAGTAAAGAGCTTAAATCGGGGCTTTTCTTATAGACAAAGCAACATGGCAGAGATTATACTGACAAGATCTTTTTCTATTCATAGAAACAGTGGGAACAGGCATTTAATGTAGGGACAGTTCTGTACTTTCCCTCGCTTTGTGCCTGATCCCACAACCTGTGAGTAATCCTGTGGATAGTCCCACTGAAATCACTGGAATTACTCACATGAGTAAGAGTCCCAGAGCAAAACCTTCCTCCTTGGAAAAGCTTTTTCACTGTAGCAGGAAAGACATTTCACCGCATTGATACCCACATGCAGGTAAGCACCCCCCTCAAAAACAACAAATAAATCAACCCAACCACCAGAAAACAACTCTGCTAGGTCAGGTTGGCAGAGACCTTGGGGTTTTTCACCTTCCTCCGCAGCATGGGGCCTGGGTCACTTGCAGGTTTAAACTAGCCTAAATGGTGGATTCTCTGTAACTTGAAGTCTTTAAACCATGATTTGAGGACATCAGTAACTCAGGCAGTGGTTAGGGTCTATTACAGGAGTGGGTGGGCGAGGTTCTGTGGCCTGCGATGTGCAGGAGGTCAGACCATGATGGTCCTTTCTGGCCTTAAAGTTTATGAGTCTATGAGAATACCCCAGACAGCAGCATTCTTAGCATGGTAAGTGAGAAAAGCCAGAGTGCACATGAAGTCCACTAGGGATTTTGAATTTTATGTAGATGGTACCCAGACACTGGGGTGATGGCTGCTAGCATAAAACCCTAACAATCTTAGCTAGATATCAGGCTCTTTGTGTCAATATCATTTAAAATGAAATCCATCAAGCTCAAACCCTTGTACTGGCAGGCACAGATGGGAGCTTGTGCTTGTGTGCACACAAAGTGAATGTGTATGGAAAAGTGTGTAAATTTCATAGGCTCCTTTGAAAAGGAGTAAAGGGTACTAGCAATTAGTTGTGCCAAGTGTGCTGTTTTGCCATATCAGAGTCCTCTTGTATTGCAGGGCTTCATGGTATTAGGGTCTTGCCTTGTTTGGTAATAGAAACCAAACAGCTCAGCTGCACTCACATCTTTAAGGGAGAGCTACAGTCACATCACCACAGGCTGTGATCTTCCCAGAACTCAAGCTAAGTAGGGTCACGCCTGCTCTGTACTTGCATGGGTGACCTCAACAGAAAAAAAACCCAAGGTACCAACACAATTTCTTAGTGATTCAGTAAGTGGCTTTCTTTCCACTGAGCCAAGAGTGAACCAGTTCTCCAGCACAGTGTTAGGGGGTGCTGTGGTGCTGGGTTGCAGATGAGCTGTAAACTGAGGTCCTGACCACTTGTGATCATTAAAGATTTCCTGGCACTTCTTGGAAGTACAGTGTCATTAACCCTAGTGGCCTGGCTAAATTCCAGTTTGGGTAATTACAGTCTCCTGATCTTTCCTCCTTTACATGCAGTCAATTGAGGAGATTTACTTATGACAAAAATGGAAGGGAACAGGGTCAACAGCAAGGAGGAGGGAGATTAAACTCAAAGTGATTTGGAGCCACAGAACAAAAGGGCACATCAATGACTTATGCCACTTAGTGCTGAAAAAATGAAAGGAAAACAATTAGGGATGGAATCCAAGAGAAGGGGAAAATGTTCTCTAACCATATGGAAAACTCTTCCCAGGAGAAGGCTCTGAGGAAGCAGTGAGCAGCCTGTCAATCCACAGCTTGAAAGCAAACAATAGCATCAGACAGGGAGTCATATGGGAAGGATTTCAGAAATATCCCTTTTCTGGGGTTAAACAGAGCAGCACATGACAACACTTAACCAGGCACATAATCCCCCGTTCTGGTAAATTTCTGCCTAGTGATGCCATAAACTGAGTTCTATTACCTGTATATGTCCCGGGCCATTCCAAAATCTCCAATTTTAGCTACTCTTCCAGGCCCTTGACAAGTAAGGAGACAGTTCCTGGCAGCAATGTCCCTGAGAAAGAAAGAAGGAAAGCAGCAGAAAGAGCGGGAGAGAGAAAAGAAAAAATCATTTAACCTTTCAACAGTTTTGCAAAAGCCAAAGGAAATGACAAGAAAACATGTCCTGCTTTCCTGAGGGGTTGAGACCCCTCAAATCCCAGTGAAGTCAATATCTGCAGATAACAAGCTATGTCCCATTGTTTTAAAGCTATGTCCCATTGTTTTAGTAGAACTCTTTTGAATTTAAACATTCCATTTGCTATTTGTAATAATTCCTTAATGCCTTTTATCATCACACATGGATTACTCAGTATGGCAAGGGCCTCCTGCCAACACCCCTCCTTGCAAGTGTTGTTGAGACTCTAGAAAGTTGGCAGTAAAAGATCTGAGTTGGACAACCCACCTCTTCCAACAACACACTGTCCCATCATGACTACTGGCCCTATACCTAGTACATCTTTGTCACATGTAGTCACATCTATGCCAGAGGCAGGCAGAATAGTCAGTGCTACAAGGAAAATGCTCAAACCTGGATTTCAGAAACTAGACAGACACCTGAACCAAACCCTAAATCCATACCCTTGCCTTGAACTCTCTCACCCATCTCTAATGGGCTGCACTAAAACCCTGGGTCTGGGCATAGATCCCTTGTGGCTTGGTCCCATCTCTACTAGAATGAAAACCAGGAGCACAACCCTGGCAAAATCACCTCAGAGAAGTGAACTAAAAAATGGCAGCTATAAGTTTGTGGCTCCCCTGCAAAGCCATGCAACTCTGCTCCATGTGGCTGCTGAGCTTTTCCAGGGCCTGTTCAGGACAGTGGGGAGAGATGAGGGACAGATAATGGGAAAGCACTGATGGTTAGCACCTCAGACTTCGCAGCCAGAAGGACCACAAATGTGGCTACTCTTAAGAATGCTGGATGCTACAAAACTCTCAAATTATTTCCTTAAAACTAGAACTATTGAGGATATTGAAAAGGTCTGAAGAATGGTGACTAGATCTGCATTATTTTTATGAATATTTTGTGTACCTCTATATGTTTGAGTATTGTGGTTGGGCCAGGGCCAGCTCTAGGTTTTTTGCCGCCTCCCGCCCCAGCCCTGGGCTCTCCCCCCACCCGCACCCCCTGCTGCCCCAGCACTGGGCTCTCCCTCCCCCCCCCTCATCCACACCCACACCCTCTGCCGCCCCAACTCTGGGAGTGGAGAGAGTATTGCTGACAAACCACATGTCTGAGGCATGGATAGGAACAACCCCAACTGAAAAGGGGACAGGTGAGTGGCTCTCTAGCCTTGCTTGACTTTGTGGATAGAATCAGGCCCATCTCAAAAATCTTACACACTGGGAGCAGTCAGGCATATGGTGCCATTTTTCGTTCCAGGTCTGAACAGTACCACAGAAGGGCAATAATCAAAGCTTGCTGGAGGGAAGGCCTACAACTTACTGTAACAAATTCCTGGTTGCTTTTGATGACAAATAAACTGAATGCCTGTTGTGACCCTGGGGATAGAGCTCAGGTTCCTTGGCACCATGAATACAAGCCTTCCTCACTTGAGATAAAGTAGAGTCCCTGTGTATAATTACTATTAGGGTAGGTCCACACTACCCGCCCGATTCGGCAGGTAGAGATCGATCTTCTGGGATCGATTTATCGCGTCTCATCTGGACGCGATAAATCGATCCCAGAAGCGCTCCCCTGTCGACTGCGGAACTCCTGCTCGCCGAGAGGAGGAAGCACGGTCGACGGGGGAGTTTGCCTGTGCCGTGTGGACCCGCAGTAAGTAAACTTAGTTCGATCTAGGAAACGTCGACTTCAGCTACGCTATTCTTGTAGCTGAAGTTGCGTTTCCTAGATCGATCCCCCGCCCCAGTGTGGACCAGCCCTAAGTCAGGCTTTTGGCTCTTATCTTCTAAAAACATCCAACCTCTAGAGGGCAGTGGTACACAAACATATTCACCACAGTATTACTCGTACATGCTGGCCAATATATTACAATACAATATACACCCACACATACAAAGGGCAACAGTAAATAGTCCTTAATAGCAAATGGTCTTACTCACCTGTGAATGAAGTGGTTTTCTTCCAAATACTGACAGCCACATGCAATGTCGCGAGCCACATGTAGCAAGTCCAGCATGCAAAGGGAAGAGGGCTGGCTCTACCAAAAGACAAGGTACAAAGTGAGGTTAAAGCAGAAATGATGCATGGTTCATCTTCAGAACTATGAGCCACCACTGAGATCTCAAATGAGGGAAGTGGAGCAAATGCTAACACAAATACAACGGATGTAAACTACCTCATACACAGCTTTCCAACTAGCATAAATGTTTCATATCTGGGGACAGGGCCAGCTCCAGGCACCAGCTTAACAAGCAGGTGCTTGGAGCGGCCAAGGGAGAGGGGCGGCACCTGTGGCAATTCGGGGGCGGCAGGTCCCTCACTCCCTCTAGGAGCGAAGGACCTGCCGCTGAACTGCCGCCGCCGATCGCGGCTTTTTTTTTTTTTTCCCCCCAATTGCCGCCGCCGATCGCGGAGCCAGCCCTGTCTGGGGAGGTTATGAAAAGGTGCTGGCACCTAATCATACACACAAATCGCACTAATAGAAGCAGAATCACTAGATCTGATATCTTATTGTAGTAGGTCATCTAATTCCCCTCAGAGCTGCAGCAGGATTATTCCTTACAGTGTATTCTCCACTGCTTTATGCAGTCTAGCTTTAAATGTGCTTACACCATCTCTCATGGGAGACTATTCCATAGTCTCAGTATTATAAGTATTTTGGTGATATTTAACCTGAATTTATCTTTGCTCAGTTTCATCCCATTATTCATACTTCCATAAGTCACCCTAAACAATCAACCCCTCCTCTTCTACAGCCCGCACATATTATCTGAGTTCCTGAGTGCCATCTTTGTATTTGCATCCTTCACGTATGTGTAGATTTTTATCAATTGCCCGTTTAGTTATTTAGCTTAATCTCCAGGAGTGCATCAGTGCAGGGAGCTGATGTCTTGTGACAGGAAGGGGAGGGTGCATTCATACAGAACTACATGATGTACTTTGGAGAGGAAGAATTGCCTTTAAGGGACATGACTGATAGGTGGGCATGCCAGGACTCTGCACACGAATCAAGCAGCTCATCTTCATCACACCTATTAAAAAGCAGCATCTTTTAACGCTGTATACCCCACCCACTGATACACACACCGGTACTGGTTCATCAGTGCCTAGGACTCTAAACGCCCCCCTCCCTTCATGATGAAAGGTACTAGGTCCTGGTATGCTGCTCCCTGCCATCTTCCAGCCTGAGTCATAATGGACTTTAGACTTCAACCAGCTGACTAGGATTAGAACGAGCTCCTAGCTTCCCTGCAGTTTGCAGCATGCACAACTGAACAGGAAACAGTGAGCACTGGCTGCTACAAGCGAGGTCTTAGTCTGGCTGAAAGGGTTGGATACTCTAAGCCCTAAGGTACCCTAGTCTAATGAAGAGAGCACCAAAGAACTGCAAAGCACCCTGCGTTATATGTTGTCTGAGCAGAGGCTTACCTGCACAGCATCACACACACACACAGCTAAGCAAAAAGGACAGTGTAGACCAGGGCCGGCTCCAGGCACCAGCTTAACAAGCAGGTGCTTGGGACGGCCAAGGGAGAGGGACGGCACCGGCGGCAATTCGTGGGCGGCAGGTCCCTCACTCCCTCTAGGAGCGAAGGACCTGCGGCTGAACTGCCGCCGCCGCCGCCCGCGGCTTTTTTTTTCCTTGTCCTTTTCCAATTGCCGCCGCCAATCGCGATCACGGCTTTTTTTTTTTGCTTGGGGCGGCAGAAATGCTGGAGCCGGCCCTGGTGTAGACACATCTATCCTGCCTGTGTTTTACTATACACACGGTTTGTTTAACATGCACAGGGATTACTGAAGTGCCCTAATACATAGGAGAAGAGGGCTGGGCTTTCATTTATTTATTTGTGCATAGTGTTGTTCCCTGAAGCCTTACTTTTTGATGGAGACTCTCTTTTAGTCTCACTCTGCTGACTACTGAGTGATTCACCAGCATTGAACATATGGCTAAAACGATCAACAAAAGGGTGATGGTGTCTTTTCTTAGGGGTCTGAGCAGGGTTTACAGCTGTTTGTAGCTTTGTAGCCCAAAGGAGAGGAAGAAACCAGCTGGAAACTAGCTCACGATCAGCCTTTCGAGCGAGAGGTGCATTGGAAGTGCTAAAGCGACATCTTCCGTCCCACCCCTCCCCTTTAGGTCCAACCTCTGGAAAGGTGAAGGTGACCGCAAAACAAACTCTGTCTATTGTTCAGTATAATCACTACTCTGCACAACAAGCTGCAGGATACAAAGGAGGGGAAATTACTGCTTATCTTCCAAAGCCATCCTCTTATTGCTTTGCCAGGTGAGAAAAGGATCAAACAGATAGGGTTTTGAACTCCACAGAAAGGAGAATTTTGCAATGTTCTCAGTATGTTCCTGGCATTTGAGCAGCTAAGTACCGCCCAGATCTATTGAGTTTATCTCACTGCTGAGAAGGAGGGAAGTACAGCCCCTAAACAGACACTGATCTTCGTTAGAGGTGGGACAGAACAAAAGCCCTGAGTCCATAAATCCCTGAAATTTGGGAGAGTTTGGATCTGAACTTTCTGGCTTGGGCTCACCTCTGATCTTGATAACCCGCAGCTAGGATAAATTGGTAAAGCGCCACAGAAGTCACTGGATTTATTCTTATTTATTATCGGCTACTTGTCACCAGCTGAGGATTTGGCCTATGGGTATAAATGTTACATTTCTTGTTTAGAGTCCAATGGAATGTTTCTTTTGTTCAGCCCAGTTGAATGTTTCTTTTATTGTATGTGGTACCTTGATGCGATGGTGACAGGCAAATTGTAAATGATAACAATAAGGGAAGGACAGGGAAGGTAGGAAAAAGAGGTGAAGAATGGAGAGAAAGAGTGAGGAGGAAAGGCAAGAAGGGAGAGACAAAAGGGGTAGTTATGCAGTAGGCAGTAAAGCATTACCACTGTACCTGCCAACGCTGATTTCTCTTTGTACTTAATTTTCCCTAAGAAGCTAAACTCCTTTTTCTCAAGAAAGGTCCGTCAGTGTGTTTTGAAAAAAACATCATTGTCTGGCTGGGCATGACACGGTCTGTGAGACTAGAAATCTGCGTGATCAAAGGGAAAGTCACTTTGCTACAGCCTGCCCTCTGAGGGCTGGACTACACTGAAAAATCACACCCTGAGAGATATAGTTCAGACGACCTACGCCCTGGTGTAGATAGTGCTAGGTCTATGGAAGAATTCTTCTGTTGACTAGGGTTACCATATCTAACAAATAAAAAAAGAGGACCCTCCACGGGCCTTGGCCCCACCCATTTCCCCACCCACAGCCCCGTCCAACTCTGCCCCTTCCCCGCCCTAACTCCGCCCCCTCCTCCCTCCCACTCCCAGCCACGCGGAAAGGGCTGCCCGAGCGCTACCGGCTTCACGGTTTGCCGGGCAGCCCCCAGACCCTGCGCCCCCGGCTGGCGCTTCCCCAGCGCAGCTGGAGCCCGGGAGGGGAAGCGCCCAGCCGGGGGCGCAGGGTCTGGAGGCTGCCTGGCAAACCAGGAAGCTGGTAGCGCTTGGGCTTCGGGCAGCCCCCTTGCCTCCAGACCCTGCGCCCCCAGCCGGGCACTTCCCCTCCCGGGCTCCGGCGGTGCAGGGTCCGGAGGCATGGGGGCTGCCCAAAGCCGGTAGCGCTCGGCTCTTAAACAGAGCTGAAGAGTCAGGGGAGGAGCAGAGCCGCCGCGGCCGGAGGCTCTGCTCCTCCCCTGACTCTTCGGCTCT